ATACATAGTAGATAAACCATGTAATCAAATACTGAAATCGTTATTTCTTTATATTTAGATATTGTCTCCTTATACTGACTTCTGAGCTTGTATCTGACATTAAGGTCCAAGGATAAGGGCACACAGAGTTGTTACATAAATCTAAGTCACTATTAAAGCAAACAGAAGTTTAGCAAACACGTTGCAAGATACAAGTGAGCAAAACATGCTGCAGTGATCCGGTATTGCAGGCTATGCTTCACACAAGTTGGGAAAAAATCCTCCCAATTTTGGCTACTTCTGGTAATGCTTTTTATTTCAGATTTGTGATGTTAAAGAACAACTCTCTCTGAATTGTTTTCTTGTTTGCTTTGTTTCATGATGGGATAAAAGATGGGAAATATAAAGCACGAATAAATGTGCACTTTTGAGTTAATATAAGCCCCAGCTGGTTTACCCTTAAGGCTTAACTGTGGCTTTTAGGAGCCTGAGAAGGATTTAGGAATGGAACAGATCCAAGTGTCTGAAAAAAATTTCTTGAAGGCCTTTCAACTTTGAAATGTTTGCTGGGTGCTGAGAGGAAGAACACAGAGGAGGTATTTCTTTATGAACGAAAGCACACGATTTCTTCCCTTTGTAGAAGAAATCTTGCACAGAAAATGTGAGGATGCAATGGCTCTCCTTTGCAATCAGGTTCCTTTGGGCATTGTAGGCACAGCTGGCTGCTCTAGTCCTGCTTCACAGCTTACTTCTGTCAAGGTTGTTGCTATCTTTGTGTTTGTACACTGGAAAGAAGAAAAAACACTCTGTGCTTTTCTCTATCACTACAAGAATTTCAGCACAGCTTTAATTTGACTGGTTAGTATGTTTATAGTTGTAAAATCAGACTAGTGAAGTGCTGATCCTTCAGTAACTTAAGTAAGTGCTTAATTTTATTCCTGTTGGACTTTGTTGGATATCTTGTACTAGAGCACTAAAGAATATCTGTGGAATTGGGGCTGCAGAGTAGAGGTAAAAAGCAGGAAGAATTCCTACTTCTTGCTTGTGGTTATGAGACAAAACCAACAGTATTAGTTAAAGTAAGTAAAACGAGTACCAGTACTATATTAATTTACTGTAAATAATAAGTGAATAAATGTAGTAAGGGAGCAAGAATATTAAAATCATTAATTCAGTTATAAAGGCAGATACAAACCTTTTCTTCTGCAGTTCAGAGTTGGTACAGGAAACACATACATGTGGCACAAAGAGGAATCAAATTCTGGTTTGATAGCTTCAGGTTTCTCCTGTTTTATGTTTTTGGGGTCCTGCCTGTCCTCTTCACTACATAGCTGGTCAGCTTTTATCTGCTTTAGCTTTTGATTTTTCAGTTCTATTGGGTGCACACACTTGGCATAATTTCCCAAATTCCTGTTTGTTGGAACCTGTAGCATTGTAACAAGAGTTTCTAGTTCACAGTTGCAATGCCAGGGATTATCATAAAGACGTAGGTAGTTTAGACTGGGTGTATAAATAAAAATCTCCTCAGATAAACTCTTAATTTGGTTATGCTGAAGCAAAAGTGTGGTAAGTTTATTCAAACCAAAAAAAGCCTCGCTCTCAATTTTTGAGATATCATTCTGTTGTAAATCCAGACTTTTCAGTACTTTATACTTGGAAAACATGTTGTTCTTCAATTTACGAATCCTATTTCTTGCTAGCAGCATGTGTTTTAAATCCTCTGGCCAATCAGGTGCCACAAAAATCAATTTTCTTTCCTGACAATCTAGGTATTTCTCATGAAGGTAAGTGTATATATCACATGGTAGGCCTCGGGCATTACGCTTAACAGTGCTAGATGTTTTCCTTAAGATGTTTTCCCTTTCATTGTTTCTCAAACTCCTATTCCTTGTCTTCCTACAGTCAGATATTTTACAAAGAAGAAGTAGTAGTATAATAGTAACTACTTGCATCCTGACATTCAGCTGGCCCCAGTTATTTTCTGGGACAGCTGGAACAGCTGAAATTTTTGGATAGTCTTAATCAGTATTCTACAGATTTGAGGAGGCACAGCTGGCGTATGTAGGATCCCTGTGTTGGAAGGAAAGTAAAACATTAGAACAGATGAAATAGGCATTTTCATGGAGGCTTACACATAATATGCAGCATTCAGTCAAATACTCAATCAACACACTGCTTGGAGCTTCACAAATGCTTTGAAGATTTAATGTCCTATTTCTGTTTTTGTTGCTTTTACTGTTTCTGGTCTACTGTTGTTCATTTTGATTAAATACGGGAAACTATATGGACCAATTTCTAACTGATCTTTGTTAGAAGGTTCTCATGTATTCAGGAAAACAGCATCAGGCTGAATCTTGTTTGCATTTCAGTTCATCTTGGAAGATGAGCTTGAAGCTGATATTTTCCAGCTTTCTGGATGTTGACCCACTGGAACACATACAGAGCCAGACCAAGGAAAGTCATCCAGTGTTTATCAAACTCCCAGTTTTAGACTGTGCTCAAGTGTGGACTTGTTTTCAGGTTAAGCCCCAATTTATCATAACTAGCCCTGCTGCTACCAAATGTCTCTCATGGTCTATGTCAAGTAGACAAAATTGGCTGAACTGCTCTGAGAAGGACCCAAAAATAATCTTTTGCAAGAGCCTGTGAGGCTATATGTCATCTGAGCATAGGCAGAGTGCAAGGAGAGCCTGCGGATCCTGGCAGTGGCCTCCTTCAAACCATTTCCAGGTCTGGCCAACTGAGGAAGGAGGGTACAGAGGGGTAAGCCAGGAGCTTTTGCCTTTCCAAGAAAGCCAAATGCAACCATTAGGAATTATTATTAGAGGAAGACAAGGACTGCTCGCTGCAACCATGTCCAAATTTGCCTCATTATTTTTAGTAATTTTTTGGCCTGTGTTCCCTTCTGAATTTCCCATAGTACTCCTGTGTATTGCCCTTTTCCTTCATTTTCAGTGAAGTTTGACCACAAGATTGTGTTTCCTTAGAAACATTTTAACCCCTTGGGTTTTTGTATTTTCTAACTTTTTTCCATCTCACAAATTTCCTAATTTTGCTAGTCATTATCATTCCTTCTGAAACTTTTTTTTTAATTCTTCACTGTTTGGCTTAACTACTTAGTTACTTTTTCTTTATGACTGTGGACATCTTTGTGTTATGCTTAGTCCTTTTTGACCTTAGCACCTGGGAAGGTATTAAATTCCAATCTTGAGTGCAGATCATTGCACAGATGTTTTGTTTCTAGAACACTGTTGTTTTGGGCTAAAAAAACTTGTATTTATCTGGGGGAAAGGTGACACAATAAATCAACTAATACCAGGTAAAATTCTTTTGAAAGCAAATAAATTTTTCATTTTTAAACAAATTGGTAGATCAGTTTAAACCACATCTTAACTGTAGGGCATTCTCAGTGTGAGAACCTATTGACTGGTTTCTCCATTTTGTTCCTGCAGTTGCCAGTTGTCTATCTGCATTCAGATTCTGGTAGTTCACAGTGTGAATGAGTGTTTGCATTGACAACTTTATCCCTTAGATGAAAAATGAAATTTTATTTGTTACTTTTTGGCAGCTATATGCTAGTCAGTGTAAATTGATTACATGTTTTAATAACTTGAATCATAACTGGGATCCTCTGTATTGTTTTGAACTGTTCACCGTTCTGGTAATGTGATAGCTCATTCTATCCAGGAGAGCTCAGAAACAGAAAAAGAAGAACTTGGGGCAGGAAAGGTAGTAAATAATTATGGAAATATTCTTTTCTTTTCCGTTGCGTCTCCTGGGTCTGAACTGGATTTTTTTACTAGTGTTACATTCTGTCTGCTAACTAAATTATACTCAGCTATAATATCAAGTGAGCAGCTGCTTTCAGTAGGACGTACAGGTTCACATGTAAAATTATAACTGTGTCTCATGTAGTACTAGAGCAAAAAACATATAAGAGGTATGTCATTTCTGTGGCTTTAGCAACCTTAAGGATGATTTTAATTGGTTAGGTACTTTTGAGTTGTGCAATCCCTTGCAGTATTGTCCTATTCTTCAAAAAGACCCTGAGTTAGACAGTATTACAGGGTATCAGTGAAGTCACAGTCCCCATAGAAAAGAATATACAGATCTATTGTTGTACTAATGCATGATTGCAATTGAAAACACGTATTTGGCTTACCATGTGAAAATGTGTTTTTAGAGATTTTAAAATATATTTCTTTTAACTCTATAAACCTTTCATACTGCATTTTGCACATTAGGTATCTGTATCAGGACTATTTTTTCATTTCAGTTTAGACAGATCAGTTATTTTTGAAGACCAGATTAAGGCAAAAAGTATTACTACGTTTAATAGGAGGTTTTGCATCTTTATCTTGGAGGATAGACTCAAAATTTGGTAGAAGAGTGGCTGAAGGGATGTATAAGTGTTATTTCTAGTGTCAGACATCTGTCATTATTTTGTTAGAATTGCAACAATCTCTGCAAAATAGGAATTTCTAAAAATAATAGATTGTATGCGCACAGAAGAGACTGTCTCAGGCAGCTAAATTCTCTGAAATTCCATATCAGCGAAAGATAAGCAGGACTTTTCCTACAATTGGTCTGATTGCTGCACCTCTACTTTTAGAGGGGAAAATTGTTCATGTATATAATTAGATACTGGTGTCGAAATATATGGGTGGGAGGGACAGATAAACCTATGTGGAAAATTTAATTCTGGCATTTCCTAACACCAAATTGCTTAGTTAGGTAGCTTTCTGGTCCTTTGGTAACCTAAGACTGAAAACAGCTTGGTTCCTAAGCCAGCCATTCGTTGATGGAGTGTAAGAAGAGACATTTCCTCAGGACAGCTTACTCCGACTTCATATTCTACTTTTGGTTTTTTGTGCTTTCTTCTCAGTAATCTGCTGTGGCCATGGTTTCAGGGAGGATATTGGCCTAGATGGACTGAATCTGTAATAGGAATTCTTATGGTTGTGTTGTACACTAGGAATTTGAACTGTTCACCTTGAATATGACTTTTTTTTTATTTCTAGGTGAATGTAAGAATTTGCAAGACTTAAATCTCTCTGAATGCCAGGGATTAAATGTAAGTACTACAGACTTTTTTCCACGAACTCTAATTTATACCGAGAAGGAAGATTTTTTAAAGTGCTGTGGTTATTTGGGTACACAAATCTTCCTGATAAAAAATAGAGACTTGTGTTCTTAAGTACTTTGAAAATGTGGTTTAGTAGGATTCGGAGATACTCGGTGAAGTTCTCATTTGTTTCCCACAGTGCCAAGGCAAAATGTTATATTCAGTCTCAATTAATTTTAATAAATAGACTTCAAAACTTCACCAGTGTGAGGGGAGGCGTTTTTTAAGTTTGGAAGTGTCAACAACAATACATTTTAATCCTATATTGTTTCCAAGTTCTTTTATTCCTTCCTTCAGTAGTACACTTGGGCTCTAAAAATGTCTCATTATATTTCTAAATATTAGTGAGAATCTTTATTTGAAAGGTGTCTAAGGATGAAATCACCATTACATATTTGTCCATTCTTTTTCCTTTTTTCAGTCATTGTGTTTGATAGCTGCTTTCTGTCCAGTGTTTAGACTGTACTGATGCATGGGGCTATTCCATCCCAGATGCAGGACTTTGTGTTTGCCTTTGTTGAACTTCATGAGGTTTCTGCATATTGGGAACCATGGGGTTAACAAGAATGATTTGGTCCGTTATGGAACATTGCCCCATCGCATGCTGATCATGTAATAATTGAACAGCTAAAAAAGACATGAGAGAGGAAACAGCTTGTCCAAAGAGGAAGTAGCTGGGGAGCTATGAAACTGATGTTGAAAATCCTGCAGAACGACCTTGAGTAGACCACAAAGGACAGTGAGGAAGATGAAGAATGATGAAGAAACAACCACCCAAGCACTTAGTAGCCCCCCTGTGTAAAAACGACACATGCGCAGAGGGAGTGTTAGTTGTGTAACAAAGATGGGGGGTGCTCCCAGGACAGGCTGGCCCCCTGTCATGGGACTACCACCAAAGGATAGGATAAAAAGAAGGAAGTCCCTTGGTTCGGTGAGGTACGCAGCCGTATAGAGGACCATGTTGCCTCCCCGGGGATGCCAGGAAGGACAGAACCTACCGCCCGAACCACCACACAAGCCTAGAAATGCGTCCTCTATATGCGATCATCTGTTTCGGCATGAATTCGCTTGCTGGGTTGGTATGTATTTAAAGCAATAAACAGCTTTATTGCTATTTAAAGCATAACAGCTAAATGCAAAGAGAATGTGTCTGAATGAGTGGTCACTGGGATACACTGAGCAGGTGTCATCCCATCCCGGAATCCTCCTATTACATTCTCTCAGCCCATTTTTCCAGACTAAATCTCTCTGAATAGAAGTTCTAGCCTCCAGTGTATTGATACTCCCCCCAGTTTGGAATAATTTGTGAATTTGCTGAGAATGTACTCTGTTCCTATCACCCAAACCATTTATAAAGACATTTAACGGTACTGGCCCCCATATTACCCTTGAGGGATGCCAGTTGCCACAAGCCACCAATGGCACTTAGGACCATTGGTGACAACCCTTTGGCCTGGCAGTCTGGACAAATTTTCACTCGAAGGCCACTTATCCAGCCTTTATTTTACCAATTTGACTATAAAGGATACTGTGGCCTGCGTTGAAGGCCTTGCTGAAGTCAAGATATACAACAGCCACTTTTCTCCCCTTATCCATAGATTCAGTAATCTAATCATAGAGAACTATTGCTTAGTGAGGAATGTTTTGCCTTTGCTAAATCTGCGTTGGCTGTTTGCTATCACTTTTTCATGCTTCACATGCTTCGACAGGGCTTCAAGGAGGATTTGCTACATAAACTTCCTAGGGACTCAGGTGAGGCTGACTGGCCTGTAGTTTCCTGGATCCTCCTTCTTCCATTTCCTGAAAATGGATGTGACATTTCCTATCTTCCAGCCATCAGGGATCTCCTTTGATTGCCATGACCTTTCAAAAATGATTGAGACCTCTCAGTGACAGGAGCCAGCTTTCTTAGTACTCTTGGATGCCTCCTGTCTCATCCCATTTCCTCAGTTGCTCCCTGACTTCTACCATGTGTGTTACTTCACTCCCACAGACTCTGCTGGTAGGCCCCTGCGAGGCACCTGGGAAGCCTTAAGACAAGTCTTAGCAGTAAAAACTGAGGCAAAAAAGTCATTGAGCACCTTGGGCTTGAAGATCAACCAATTCTTCTGGGCCCCTTTGCCCTCCAGGGCTGTCTGCCATGAGGTCCTGTTAAGCAGATCCATAAACAAGCCAAAAATCTACTCTCAAGTTCAGACTTTTTCTTCTAAAATTTGTCCAATTTTTTTCTCTCAGGATTTTAAACTCCTCATTTTCATGGTTACAGTAACCAAAGCCAATCTAGTTCTTCACATCCTTGACCAGTTTTTCCTTGTTTGTGAAACAAGTCTAGAAGAATATGTTCACTAGACCACTCATCAGTCACCTGGATCAAGAAATTGTCTTCAGCACACTCTAGAAGTCTCCTGGATTGTTTGTGCCCAGCCATATTGTTCTTCCAGCAGATATCAGAGTGGTTAAAGTCTCCCAGGAGTAAGCAGGATAGGCAATTGTAAGGCTTCCTTCAGCTGCCCAAAGAATGTTTCATCTACCTTGTCTTGATCAAGCCATCTGCAGCAGGTACCTACCACAATGTAATCCTCATAGGTCTAGCCTACAATCCTGACAAATAAGCTCTCGACTGACTTGTCACCCATTGCAATGCAAAGCTCCATTCTTTTAGGCGTAACTTCGCATAGAGTGCCAACCTGTCCTCGCTTTCCTGGGCTGTCATTCCTAAATATTCTGTAACAATTCATTGCAGCCCTCCAGTTGTGTGTGCTACCCCTTCGCATCTCTGGAATCCCAATGAAATCATAGCTCTGCACCTGTGCATGGACTTTGATCCCTACTGGTTGATTTTCATGCTACAAGTGTTTGCGTTTAGACTCTTGAGATGGACTCCTGGTTGTGCTGCTTTCACATGGAAAGTTTCAGAGTTTTCCCCATAATGCTATCCCCTCAATGCTTTCTCACCACTCCCTGTGCCTTCAGTTCTCTTCAGGTTATGATTATCTTCCATCAACATACCTATTTTTACTGATACCACCTCTCTCAAGTCCTTTGTTGCAGGAATATATTTCAAAAGCACAAACTGTCCTCTTTAGAGTTGATTGGTATTGAATTTCCAGCTATCTTGATGGTCCTTTTGCCTGATAACTGAAATTCTAAAAAGGTGACCACAACATGGCAGAAGATACACACCCAACTCTTACGTTTCCATGTATATGTGCTGACTTTTTGCCTTTCTATTATGTTGATATTTATTGCAAAACATTCTTCATACTGGGAGATTTGGTCTCATTATATTCTAATGGAATGATATATAGAACAATATAGCTAGTACCACTTTTGCAGGTCAATAAAACATGGAATCCTTATAATTACTCAAATCTAGTGTCCCACCTAGAGGGTAGAACTAAACAGGAAGCAGTTTGTAAATGATATTACTGGTTAGAGAAGGGTACCAGAGTTTATGGAGAAAATTCACCAGTGGTCTTAGATACCAGGATTAGCTAACAAGAATCTTGGTTTAGCAAAATATGTAAACATGTGCTAACCTTCAATCACGTGAAAAGTGCCCTATGCTCTGTAGGACTGTGTAGTGTATAATGTTTCCTTGAATTAGAATGTTAAAATTATCGTACTTCAGGTGAGTAACAGTAGCATCATGTTTCAGTATTCCACTTTGAGGCTTCCAAAGAAAATGGCTGTGGTATATAAAAATTATTATGATGATTTAGAGATACTTATTCATGTTTTTTCCCCTTGTTGCTCTGCATAAAAATGTAAGATAAATTAATACAAATACAATTTAAATGTACTTCTGGAATTTTTTTTTTATTATTCAGGATGAATCGATGAGACTCATATCAGAAGGTTGCAGAGCTCTTCTCTATTTAAATCTGTCATATACAGATATTACTAATGGAACACTACGACTATTGTCGAGGTAAAATTAAACAGAAATATGAAAGTGTGTTTGTTTTAATGTTGCAGGAAACTTAGAGGCATATGTAGTAGAAAGACTCTTTTTGAGTGACTTACAGGATTCTGTCTGCTATACAAAATGAAAAAAATACCCCATACATTTGACTTAGATAGCAGTTGTTTTCTCTTTTTAATATAACTTAAAATATACACTAGATTACCCTATATATTTCACAGAGTTTTACAGAAAGTGTACTGGTGCTGGGGTTAAACCACAACAGAAACTTTTAAAAAAAAAATGCTAACGAAAAATTTCTTGGGCATGTCAGTTACTCATGCTGTTGCAAGAAGTTTGCAAGTTAGATATGTTTTTAAAAATTTTTTTCTGCAAGAGAGGATTGTGGATAGGTGTATTATGTGAGCCAAGACCTTGTGTGGCAACTGCAAAAGAAAGAGTTATTCCAGATTCTTATTTGGAAGATCAGTGAGCTGAAGGCAGAGAATTTAAATTCTTACAGAGGTCTGCCATTTTTATTTTAGATGTGTCCCTCCTTGAGACTTGAAACCTGCCTGGTAGGTAGAATTGCTGCATTGAAAGCTACCATAAAGGAAAAGAGGCATGCTCAGCCACGATAGCAGCCATTGCAAAGATGTGTATAGATTTGAAGATAGCTGTACATTGTTTCTCTTTCCTTTGAGGAAAACTAATGTATTGCTTTCAACAGGAGTCCCGCGAAGTCCAGAAACATGTTTTTCTTTGGCATTTGCATAATACTTTTTGACTTTTGCTTTTCTTAGTCTATAACGCCACATCCTCATATAACTAACATTTGTTATGGCAAAGTTCTCCATTTAGTGTCTCCAATCTTACCACTCATCTTTTCATCGATATTATCATAATCTGTGTTTTCTCCATGTTGGCTGATATTTTGTCTTTTAAATTTCTGTATGTTTATGTTGAAGTTTGGAACAGCTGTTCTATAGGTAACCTCAGTGTATGTTTTTCCGGTTACCTGAGCATGCTGTTGCCACCAACAGTCAGAACCACTAATTTATTTTGATGCATAAATAGCATGTACCCAAGAAAGAATTCTCCAGAGCAGGTGAAGCTTTCAATGCAATAAAATACTTAAAACAAAAAGAAAAATTCTCCACTGACAAAATATATTTTGCAGTTAACTTGTACCTTTTTAATAAGAAATTTTCCCAGTCATACATGATGCTTCTGATTTAAAACCCTAAGATACCATTGGTTTTATTGACAATTTTTTCGACAAAAAGCAAAGCTCATTGCTTCTGAGATTATGGGGATGTACAAAAAGTTGCTGTCCTGTGAAGATTTTGATAGCAGACAAGTTTCATAAACATTTCACATGCCATCTCAAAAGCATTAGCTCACCATAGGTCCTGTGTAATAATGTAACTAATACAAATTTCTTAGAGGTGGCAGTATTGCATTTCATAATACTGCATGTGAAGTTTGCTATTGTGTATCACATGTGCATTATTGGAACATGGAACAAGTGGAGTGTAGGCTGAGTGTGCTCAAAACTGGTCATTTTTGATTCCTACTGTTCCATACAAGCATTTTAACAAGCATTGTATTACACAACGCAGATCATCAGCTACAATTTCCCTCTGAAAAGTTCTGTTGCGTATGGTAGACATGAATATTGTCTATCAGGAATAAATGTCAGAAGGTGATTTTGTCAGATTGCTTTAAAACAATGATCCTGAGAGTGCTAATGCCAAAATTATTTGAAAAACCAGTATGACAGAATTCCTGCAGAATTTAGCTGTAACACAAACCAAGGTTCTTTTAGTAGTCTGTGTGCTCAAGCTTAAGTTTTAAGAAAGCTGATGCTTTAAAAATGGCAGAAGGCAGCACATGTTAAAATTCCCAGATCATAAAAATAGATCATATGACCTTGTAAAGAAAATCTATGTCTCTTCAAAAGTATTGGAAGATTTTGATCACAGTCTTCAAAATGCAGTAAGAAAGGTTTCCCTGTGTTTTAGATTGTGCAACCTTGTAGCCACATACACTTTAAAAAGACTGCCAGAGTGTAAAAACCAGTCTCTTAATTTATCCTCTATTTTGTCAGATAAGTTTGGAAGTGTACTCTCTCTGAGTTTGATTTTCCCCACTCATATCACTAAAATGCAAAAAGGCTTATGCTTCTACAAAGAAGGATACCTTTGTTTCTGTATTTAATATGAATTAAATGTTTCCATCTAAAAAAAATGCACCACAAACACGTGTCCTTATATTCTAATATCTGATCCTGATGCACATTGTCTGTCTTGTTTTTTTTGCATGAAATGTAGTCTTATATTTAATTTCTTCATACTTTTGTATTATCACCTTATATTCTAATATCTGATTCTGATGCACGTTGTCTGTCTTGTTTTTTTTTTTCATGAAATGTAGTCTTAAATTTAATTTCTTCATACTTTTGTATTATCATTTTTTTACAATAACATTCTTTTCCAACTTCCTATCTCTTTTTTTTGGTGTTCAGTTCAAGTTAGCATGTTTCCCCACTCTATATTGAAAGTATAAGATCAGTTCCAAAAATGTATGCCACTCCCTAGCAGTCAGCTCCTCAGTGGGTGTTCCCATCCTTCTTCAAAATGCCTACTTTTGCTGACTTGCAAAACTATATCCCTACAACTAAATGTCTACCAGAGCGGTCCTAATTCTAGGTTTTGATTTTCTGTATGCTTTCATTTGTGGTGCTTGTGGCAAATGTTATTTACTCCAGTTAGAAATGTAGTTCAGTAAAATGTATAGTTTTCAGTATATTATAAACCAAAGCTGCAGATGGAAACTCAAGTATATTCAGAGTATAGATCCTTGCTTTTACAGAGTGCTGTTGATTAACATTTTCCACTTACACAGTTTGCTTTCTTTTAACTAACGTTTAATATAAAGAAATGTTTTCCAAAAGAACTGATCAAAACCTAACACTGGATGATTCACTTTTGGATAATTCCCTTTTGTATCTCTTACAAGTTTTCAGATTCTTTAAAAGTACTCTTCTAAATAATTATATGACTTGAGAAACTCTAACTGTACATTTGTGCTTTTAATGTCCTCTGATAGAGTTCTGGTTTTTATTTCCAGCAGGCACTGCTTGTAAAATCAATGGCAAAGAAAGTCCAGCAGACTTATACTGAAAAGTCTATTAGCTTTCAAAGTATGCACACAAAAATGCCAGTTAATTAAAAGAGAATGCTTCTGCAGTTATTCAAGATAACTTTAAAATGATACTCTTTTCTTATGGTGAAATATGTTGTATGACAGTGCTCTTCCCCAGTAATTTGCAGTACAAGGAGCAGAGGAAAAAGTGCAGCAGAAGAAAGGGACTTTCAAACTTCAGCAAGGAGTTAATTCTATTTCATACCAAACATCTTTTCTTTACAGTAATTTTCAGAATACTTTAACTATGGTATACACCTTATAATAATTTGCTCTCTGTTCTGTTTTTTTTTGCAAAGCAGCTTCCCCAATTTACAGTATCTGAGTTTAGCTCACTGCAGAAAATTCACAGACAAAGGTTTACTGTACCTGGGCTCTGGAAAAGGCTGTCACAAGCTCATCTATTTGGACCTTTCAGGTTGCATTCAGGTTTGTAGTTCACGTCTTTCTTTCATTCTGTGAAGAAGAGAATCCTTTATATGACTGGCTGCATCCTGCATTCATGGTATACTGAAGTAGAACAAGCACTGCAGCAGACTTCCAGGGTTTTGAATTACATGACTACAGCTGTTTAAATTTTACCAAGGAATAATAGCACTATAGGTTTGGATCACTACCAACAAACTGTCAGATCTATAAACAGCTAGTGCTTACTGCATAATGAGAACAAGGCTTGCTTTTTGTAGCCATAAATAGACCAATTCTATGTCATGATTAGTTAGGATTTTAAATCAGGAGCTTTGAAACTGTAGTTTTTACTAAGATATCAAAAAAATAAAAGCCACTCTGCACTGGAAAAATACAAATTTACACTTGATTTCCTGAGAAGGAAATTAATTAAAAAGTAAACTATTAATTAAAAGTAAACTATTTTATATTGGTTTAATATATGAATTGAAGCAATATTTATAACTGTAATCTAAAAATAGTTAATATTTTGGATTATTTTAGTCTCCTGCTAAACTTCTAAAGAAAACCAAGGTTTTGGAATCTGGTACTATTTTAGAAACTTTCAAATATATATGGTATCTTGAAATATATTTCAAAAGCAATATGAAATGCCAAACTCTAAGGAAATAAAACTCTGCCAATGTTTTAATAAAGACTCCCACATGTATTTCTTTATACACTGAGAAGATTCTCCAAATTACAAAATACATGTGAAATGATAAAGAGATGGAGTCTGAGGAATATAATGGTTTCACTTTCCATCTAAAAAACCTTTTCAGAACCAAGGATGAGGGCAACAGTCTTGTTCTGACTGCTCTTTACTGTGAGTGTCTGTTTCTTGTTCCAGAGAATCATACTGAGAATATTGTGCAGTGACAGTGTGAAATTTGAAATGAGGGCTGAGGTTAGAGGAAAGCTAAGAACTACCTACCTCTGAGTTACTTTTTCAAAATGCCAGTAATTGGTTATTTTTTCCAAAAGCAACATCCCTGCTTGTTCAGAAGTGTAATCATGAGCTGTAAGGATCTGCCTCTAGAAAGCATGATCTAACAGTAGTCAGAGAAAAGGGATCATCATTGAACTGGGAAAACCACAATACTCCCCTTTCCAGAGGAAAGTGGGTTTGCTCACCAGTGTTTTTGAGAGCTCTGGAACGGGTTCCACAGCTTCCTCCATTTTGGGCTTCCCCACAATTCTGGAACAGTACTTAATGATTATGACTGAGTACTTAAGTAAACAGTTAAAACCAAAAAGAGCATCAAATTGCATCACTGTTGCATTTTAATAAAATAGAATTTTATTTTTTTTTCCCCTCGTTGGATTAACTAAACCAAAGGGAACTTCTGTAAGGCTAATGTTTCACAATTAGTTAGAAAAATGTAGTGAAATTATAGTATAAACATTTAAATTATGCTAAAAATTGTTCTATAGAATAGGATATATATTCCCTAGAATGTATATATTCCCTGTTTTTTCATGTTTCCTGTTTTTTCCTTCATTTTAACATTACACTTCTTTATAGATGAGTTCTTATATTACCGTTACTACTGTAGGACTTGAATGTCTATTTAGAAAGCCCATCTGTAAAATGGGTTATTATGCTGATGATTTTGCGAATGGCAACTTGAGGACCAGGGCATTTAAACAGCTTGTTAAAACAGTTAGGCAGAAAACTGGGAATAAAGCACACATTTTCTAGTCTGTTATCATAAAACAAGGCAGTCTTTCCTTTGGCTATTGCATTAATACATGGTAATAATACTGGATGAATTGTAGGTATGGATTTTTTTCGTAAAATCTCAGTAATTAAGGTTGTGTCATTATGACATGGGTGATAAATATTTTTATTAATGAGTTTCAAGATATTTTCATAAAAATGAAGAGGTTCTCTTGTGTCCCACTCAAAAGGTGTCTCATTATACCATTGATATTCTCAGAATTGTTTAGAAACCATAAGATTTCTTTGTGCTGCTTCTGAAGATGAACAGTATAGGTGGAAAATTTTCTGCTATTAGGCACAAAACTGAAAAGATGGAAGGGTATAAAGCAATTGCATGTCATTTACCAACATATTAGATTGAGATTATACAGCTAGAACAGTTTGGTGAGAGATATTTTCAGTTAAATCGGAAACATGGAGATTTTCAAAGAAATTGACCTTTTACTTTTGGTGCCAACATCTATGTCTGATTTTCAGACTGGAACTATTCTGGCCCAAAATGTGTTAGAGCGGTCTGTCTATTGCTGTGGATTACAACAGCTGCATAAGAGATTACAGGCCACTGGGAAAAATAAATTTGACCCTTTCATTTCTTGACATCCTGCAGTGTTTGTGGGGATGTCAGAGCAGCTCTTGGCAAGCATGTAGCCTTCACCAGAAAAAGGGGCCATCACTTGGGGAGAAAGTCTGAGCCATGTTCTTTATTTATTGAAGAAGAGGACTCATTGTTTACACTTCCTGAGTACAAACTCATGTAACAGAAGAATACTTCGTTGTAAGTTACACATGCACTATTCTATATTTTTAGAAATATGGTAATTCAGGAGTATGTTAATATAAGCTTCTTTTGCACAGTGGAAAATTGAAAGAAAAACAACATGTGGAGGCAAGCCATCAATGTAATATGCCAAACATCTGAAAGGATGTCACAATTCGTTTTATCATTCTTGACAAATACAGAATAAAAAAAAAAAGATAGCCCCTTGTGCACCACATGAGTACTTCCTCAATCCTGAATACTGATTTTCAGCTTTCTGCACTCATAGTGCATTGACAATATTAGAATCATAGAATGGTGGTTCTTCAAAATCCCTTCTGTGCTGCAGGCAGCATTCTGCCTTGCAGGGTGGATTCCACAAATACAATCAGTTTAAGGGGAGGAAGAAAGAATTTTAAAGCAGTACTATATGTGTAGCAAATAAGCCAAAACTTGAATTAAAATTCTGTGTGTTCCTATTCCTTGGAATTAAGAAAATTACAAAATGATGAAATTAAATTAATTTTGAGATTCTTACAAGCATTTCCTCATTTCTACATTTATTTTCTAAATCTATGGGGACAAATCTTTAGCTATGGTTTGCTCCATGTTTATTTTGATGTGCTTCCATTTCAGATCACAGTATGCTAGCATACAGTTAAGAAAAAAAACAAATCAGTCATTTACATATTAGACTGAAAACTCCTTGCAGACAAGGGATTATATTTTATGTACCATCATTGCATTGACTTCTGATCCTGTATGTGCAAGAAAAGGAATACATTTATAAAATGATCTGAGTCATGCAGGAAAAGTCTTTTTTTGCAGAATTTTGTAGATCTAAGACTCATCATAACCTTCAAAACATCCTCCCTCACAATTGGTTTGAAGAAGGAGGTTTAAGTGGGATTTTACTGATCCAGGGCAAAGAGTGCAGTATTAAATTCCATATGTATCCTAACATTGATTCTCAGGTCAAGCTGTTCGCTCTTGAGGCAATCTATTAAACATTGAAATTCTAAGTGAGTTAAGAAAGTAATTGTTTACTAAAATGTGCGCAAAGTTTCATATTTCTACACCTTATCTTCAAGAGTGCCTGAAGTTTCATAGATAATCCATAAGGGCTTTAGAAAAGAAATTCAAGATTAAGATTTTATTGTTCTAGAAATAAAGGAAAATAAGACAAATACATGTGATATTGCAGAAGCATCTAAATGTTGACTAATTTAATTGAATCGTATCTGAACGCATGTTTCACACTGAGACTTTCTCAACCTGTTGCTTGAGATCCGTTATCCAGCTTCAAGTTAAAAAACAGTTAAAGTGAAAAATATGTGAAACAATATATGCAGGGGTATTATTAGCTGCTTCAGTATAATTGTTTTTGGCTTGCGTGGAGGAAAACACTAAATTGCTGCTATTTGTGGTATCAAATGGCTGTTAAGCAAACAGTGTTTTTCCAGACAAAGAGATTAAAAGTCCTTTAGACTGCAGTTAACATTATGCAATCTTTACTGAATTCCAGAAACAGATATGCTAGTTCTGTCCACACCTCAACATTGTTGAGTGTGATCTGATTACCTGCTACCTACTATCTATCCTTTTGAGAATGGGAATTTAACTTAATTTTAGGCATCTAACCTAAGGTAGTGCCTAGAAAGTTACCTTCATTTATCTATATAACAATTAGAGAGGGAGAGAGATCTCCAGGGGTGATTCAGGCTTTTTCAGGTCTGACCTGTCATGGGATCTTTCTTGCTATTTGCTATACAGGGATTCCAGGTTTCATAATTGTCTCACGTACACACCTCAGTTATATTCCTAATTTCAGCGGATTAAACAAAGGCTTTAGCATTTGCAGTCTATTTTTAAAATCACCATCAATGTTATTGGCACTTTCTTGACTTGTCATTTTTCCTACCTATTTCCCCGATTTTGAAGTCCTCTGAACTGTGATTCCTCTTCTACAGTTATCAGAAGACTTTATAAGCCTCGCAAATACTTTTCTTACTGCTCAGTTAAATGGCTAACATTTGCAAAGTCAGGAGCTTAAAACTAGGCTCCTGAGTCTGCATTTAGGTTTTTTCAGTGATATTCTTAAAATCTTGGCCAAAACAACAGGTAATGTCATGTAACTTAAGATCCATCATTTAAAGGTGTTTGCATCTGAATTTTAGGTACCTAGACATGAGGGATCTTGTATTCCTACTCTCTGTATCTAACTGTGATCACCGACCTAGATAGGTATTTTTACAGTTAACAATGTGTTCATGGTAAAAAGAAATATCCCAAGAACAATTGGCAGCAGACTTTGTTAAGCCCCATTGATTAAACCGTTTGATTAGCCGTCATAGGAGTAAGTTGTAGTTAGTTACAATTGATGCATGCATGTGAACCGAGTCTTACAAAATTTCTTCACTTTGAACAATAAGTATAGCTGAACATGGCATGTTCTGCACTATCTCAGCTTTTGAGTGACTGTTCCTTGGGAGCAGAGTTATTCCTTCTCATTATAGCAAATCTGTTCAGCAGTTACAAGGGGAAATCCTACTGTCATAACAGCTGAAGCATACTTGAACTGCTCAATAAACTGTGGCTGATTTTTTAGAGCGTGAAAAGCTCAGTCTTCTTTTGAAAAGGCATGTTCAGATTATAATAGACAGTGTTATTACCATGTATTACAACAAACTGTATGATGTAACATCCCCTCTCTTCTCTTGGGAATGGTTGCTCTTTGTAGTATCTGGACCAAGGACAAGACTCAATTACCAGAAATTCACCTCTCAAACTGAAATTTTTAAGAGGTGATTTGTTTCACTTTAACGTATTAAACTACTTGGTGCATGTGGTAGAAATGTGCTGTCTTCTGTTGTTGCACTGCGTGAGAGCCAACAATGAGGAGGCCTGTTGCAGGGTTAGGTAAACTCTTACTCAAATGGATTGGTCATGCCGTGTTAGGGCAGTCAGCACTTCTTGACCAGCAGAGAATGGAGTTTTCCCAATACCTCCCTCAGGCAGCGGCTTGCATGATGTTCACAATTTAAACTAATCCCTTTCATACATACCGAAGTTTTTGGGCTGAGGAAACTGGACATAGGATTACATTGTCCTACATTACATATACCAATAGTGAGTAAAAAACTGTAGAATTTGGACAACTGAATTTCTGAGAACTAGCACCCATCTTTCCATGCTGACATTTTACCTGGTGATCATTACCGGTTGAAAAGAGGATTGCCTTTGATCATAGAAGCCCTACACTAGTACTGGTTATTTTGCAATCATTTGGGGTGGGAAAATCCAACCTATCCATGCTGATGGATGAGATCTGCAGTACTATCTGCAGATCCTCACTCGTGTTACCCACATCAACTGCATTCCCAAAGTCATGGTGTCCTTTTGTCCAGCAGACATGCCTCAGTTGGAGGGGGTGTGACAGCCTGGACTGCACCAAGAGGCTTTACATGCTCTGACTAGCTTGTAGTTACAAGATGGTTATCTTTCTGTATAATCCTTTTCTGCAGGCTTCCCTCCTGCCTCCTAACATTTTGCTCTTTTTCCTTCTTCAACTCTTTTACAATATGGCTGTTTTCAGAGGAACCTGATCTAGAGTTACACAGCTGCACCGTATCAGACATGAGCTTGAACACAGGCAGCTGACAGAGGGTAGTTGATGGGATTTATATCGCCATGCATTACCTGTAAATTATTTCCTATAGTTATTTTGATGGTAGGGTTTTCACTCTGTCATTTTGCAGGCTGTTACAGACCCACTGTAGGAAAAACATTCATGCTACACTTTTCCTGAGCTTAAAACACATTGAACTATTTGCATCCACAGTGCTAACAGTGCCAGTGCATGTCATGAGCCACACCATATTCTGTCTGTCTGGACATGAGACCTGCATCAACACTTTAAGCCTAAGAACACATTTGACGGACATGTAGCCAGTTCTCCTGTAGTGCTGACACCCCCCTGCGCAAGGGAAAAAGTGCAAAGAGTGCCACAATCCCTTACGAAGGAGAGACAAGACATTTAACATCAAAATATTGAAAACAATTTATAAACAATCTGTTTAAAAGGCAATTCCAGCCTGAAAATAAAGAGCAAGCCAACCTGGCCATAAGTTAAAAGATGGGGCATTATGCCAGAAAAGAAAAAACAGTCTGCCTTGATGATAGTTTGAAGTCAGATACTCAGTTCATAAAAAAATTTTCACATACACAAAAAGAACCTAAATGTTAAATTTTTGAAAAGAAGAAGAGACAGAAACCCAATATGTTAACCGCCTCACTCAATGCCAGAGTGAAAGGAAAGCAGGCTTGACCCTTATTTCCACTGAGAAGTAGTTGTGGGGAGCAGTCAGATGTGCTACAAAGGCTGGACGCTGCAGGTGCAAGAACTGGAAGCATCTTCTGGTGCACTGCTACCATACTGACCTGTGGTGGGTAATTAGCTGCTGCTTAGCTTCTGGCTTTTTTTTTCTGTGACTATCTCCTGTCTGCTAATGGTGTCCACTGCCAGACAACATCTATACCCTAAGCAGAGCCTGTGTTTTACACTGCTGTTCCCTTTAAGCAATGTAACTAAGCAAATCAGGCTTCTGCAGGAGCTGAAGAGGCAGGGTACAGCAAGAATCCCTCCCAGTATACTTTATCTTTGAAGTTTCCTCCTTTGGATTCTTGTCTCCACAGGCCTTATTTGATACCCAAGAGAACATACCAGACTGCTTTTTTTGTGGATGTTTTGCAAATGAATTCCTGGTGCAGAGCACAGCTGTAGTCTGAACTGCACAAGATTATTGCATTATACAACTTCAAAACCCTGGGAAATAGTGAGATCTCTACATGCAAATATCAGGGAGGGGGCAGGGGGAGGCTATTTCATGGGGAGGAATGGTTCACATCCATGTTGTCTGTAGAACATGGAGCTAAAAGGAAACTGTCCTGTACTTTACACAGGATTTATATGTCAAAGGAACTACTTTGTATGCCCAAAAGTGAACTGACATCTGTTGAATTTGGGCAGTTGAAGAACTGAGTCTCTGAAGTCACTCTCTGGAGTGATGAAGGGAATAAACTGAATTGACAGATCCATCTGTCCATTCATAGTTTCATGGAATATTGCTCTGTTAGAGTATGCAGAGTTGGTGATGTCATCCTACATGAAGGATTCTGTAAATGAGCTCCATGTTATTGTGATTGTATAGGATCTTTCTTTGTATCCTGTCTGAATTTAACACACATTTTGCTATGGGTCAGGAAAAAACAATGAAGATTACCGCATTCAAACCTTGCTTCAAACTAGATGTGAGCATCTGCCATGTGTGAATACCTCATAAGGTTGGGAAAACAAAGGTAGAAGGATGTGACAATGACATTCATCGCTACTCCCATAAACGGTGTTGACTGTAGAAATTGTTGTGCCTTACTCTTACTTGCTCAGTAGACACATTTTTGGAACAGATCCTGGATTTGGATTGTTGTTAAAATTTCCGAATAATATGTATACCTCATGGATCTGTTCTTCTTTTAATGGGATTAATGCATTTCTTCTTTTAGTGAGCATCTAGGTACCTATGATTTTAAAGTATTGAAAAGATCTCAAGCCTTTCCTGTATTGTTTTTGTTAGGCTTCCTAAGACATAAATATTTTATTTCTTACTTAGATTTCAGTTGATGGCTTCAAAAATATTGCCAATGGCTGCAGTGGGATTCAAGATTTGCTAATCAACAAAATGCCAACTCTTACAGACAGATGTATTCAAGTAAGAAATTGAAAATAAATCTGTACTTTGAGAAACTTTCTGATGTTGGAAAACTGGGTTATCCTCTCAACTGACTTTAAAGAAAGCTATGCAGATACAATTTAAGAGGAAATTTTCTCCCTGAAAACATTTTTTGAAACTATTATCCAATTGTGTTTATAAATCTTACTCACTTGCAGTCGCTTTCAGAAAATTTCAGTTGTCTTCTTTTGCTGCATGGGTATGGCTGAATTATGGTCTTTCATTTTATAAATGAGAGTTTTCCGTTTTTTCAGTGTTAAGCAAATACAATATATGGGAACAGCATTCTGCTATTGATGTTGCTCATCAAAAAAGGATTTTCAGGCTTCTGCGAAAGTTATTGTTAACTAGATCACTGTCTCAGATGTCTGCCATACTTCTTGTCTCCAGTTACCTACTTCTTTTCCTTGTGTTCTCACACATAATAAATATATGGAGAATTTCAGTAGTTTACATACCGCTCACTGTCTAGAAGTTACGGTTAAAATGGAATATAACTATTTGTTTGAAATTGTAACATTTGGTATTATATGCAGAATATTTGCTGATCTTTTGTTACATGACAGCATAGGTACATGAATATTTTATTTCACCTTTTTCTCTTCAAAGGCTCTGGTTGAAAAATGCCAACAGATAAAGTCTGTTGTCTTTCTTGACTCGCCACACCTTTCTGATACAACTTTTAAAGCCCTTGCTGAATGTAAACTTGTCAAGGTCAGCATTGAAGGTTAGTATAATAATTCACAAAATTATTATGATGATGTATTTTTAAAATTCATCCAGATAATTTGAAATAAATATTTCAGCTGATTTCAATGGGTATTTGGATCAGGCCCTTAATGTAAGTTGGATATGTAACTTACATCTTTATATATTTCAACAGGGAATAACCAAATTACTGATTTAAGTTTCCAGTTGATGAGTAAATGCTGCCCATACATCAGGCACATTCATATGGCTGATTGTCAGAAGATTACAGATACTGGTCTTAAGATGATTTCACCATTGAAGCATATTCTTGTACTGAATGTAGCGGACTGCGTAAGGTACTATATCACATCCAGATTTCTGTAAACCATTGCAAAGGAATTTTAGTAAAGTTAGTTATACTCATAAAAAGTCCTCTTTCAGTTTTAAAGTCATTCTGTTTTAAAACTTAAGTGTTTCAGTTTTAAAAATAAATTCTTAGAGTGTTAACACATGTATCTTAATATTTAAAAAATATTTTATACGAGTAGTTTTTTGTTCCTATATCATATTTTCAAAAATCCATTCATTATTACTCCAGGTCAAGCAAAAAAATCAACTGTAGATGTAATATTACTTAATAGCCATGGCATATTTTAGTGATGGAAGGTGGCTACAAAGAAGATGAAAATGATAACTGATGACAAAGCCAGTGCCACAGCTTTATTAAAATTTGGATATTGTTTAATTTTGTGAACATTAAAATAATACTTTATAACTATCTAGTACTAAGACATTAACAAAACTGCCAATTTTTTACAGTTACCAAGACAACATTGTAATTTATTTTGTAGAGAAAGTATATATGTTATGTGAAGACTGTTTTCCACTTCAGGTGTGTCATGTATCACTAGAAACAAAGACAAATGAAAGGGCTTCCAAAGATGCATGCTTGTTCCCTGTTTTGTGGCACGGTGATGGAGTCATGGGTGGGAGGCAAAACCTCCAAACATTTCAAAATCAACAGACTTGTAAAATAATGCAAAGAAGCTAGAATTGCTGCTTATCTTAAAATTTCTGATGTCATGTGAAGTTTTAGGGATTCTGCTTTAATGTGTAACTGAAGTGCTTTTTATGCCTGTTAATGCTGTATAAAAATCTGATAACATTGCATGTAGATGAACTGAGAAGTGCTGGAGTAATACTGTGACATCATGTTAGTAGTTCAGATGGACAGATGGGACAGCTGCCTACATTGTCTGGTTTAACATTTAGAAGGCTGGATTTTCCAGTCTGTTAGCCAAATCTTGGGCTGTGAGTGTGTTTGCACATGTGTCCACTGTCTCTACTGCTAAAGAATTGCTGAATGACCTTAACAAAACTTTTTAAGTGGTTGTAAAGCTATTGTAAAACTCTGTACTTATATTATTGGTTTTGCAGACACTTGTGAAAGTTTTGGCATTAAGAAAGTTATAGATTGTAACACATCTAAACTTGGTAAAGACTTTCTCTCAAGAGATACGAAACTACAAAAAAGGGGATTGTTAGTATTTGTGTTTCTCTTATTTGGACAGTGTGTTGCTATAAAAGTTGACACTGTGAGTTAGAAACATTTAGGAATCTGTCATAGAAATCAAGGGAAGCGCTATACCAGTGGTAGAATCTTAAGAACAGATTTTGAAATACTTAGCCATCTTAGTGCTCTTCATCAGTTTCCTTTTTTTTCATTGACATTTTATCTTAGTCTAAGAGTTTAAGTTACTTAGTCATGTGGAAATTTTTTAAAGAAATGAAAGGGACAGAAAGAGAAAATCTAACAATTCAGAATTCTTAAATTACAGGAAGTATTTGACTACATGTGAAATGAAGAAAGTAAGTTAACTGGTCATGGTTATTAGAATTAAGAAATAGTAGAAATGTGAGTAAAAAGGTGTCTAAAAATGGACACAAGCAATGTGGTGGCTCATACCCTTGACACATTTCCCAGTTTAAGTATCTTAACGTATGATAAAGCAGCGTGTGGCCTGTGTTCTTACACAGTTAATCTGCTGACTAGAGAAACTTAGCATGAGTATTCACAGCACAACTATCTCAAAAGTTATAATGTGTCTATTTCAGCCTCAAGCTCAGTGTGATTAGTGTGATTACAGAATATCTCTTTTTTTTTTTTTTTTTTTTTAATGCAGTTGGGTGTATTGGTAGGCGTTGCATTCCTTACAGACTTTATGCAAGTTAATTATTATAAAATCATAGAAACATTATGGTTGGAAGAGACCTCAAAGATCAAGTCCAACCGTAAAAAAAAAATTGTATTCTGAAAGTATATTTTGTAAATTTACCTATCTTGAATGAAAAACAACTGCACTGTGAAATAACACCAAAACTACCACAGTGGTTGAATTATTGCAGAGTGATTACTTTAACACTTTATGAATTATGGCTTCATTTTTAGCTTGTGGTCACACAATGAGGCTCTGTTTAGATTATCCTTTATTAGTAGTGCTATTCCTATGCAGGTGTTTCTAGGACTTTGGGATTTGCAGTGATTCTTTGTGCTGCAACAAACTGTACCAGCCAAAATATGATTCTGTCCTACAGAATTCTGGAACTAATTTTTTATTCATCAGGGAACACAGAATAAATACTGGGAATGCATTGAAAAGCTATGTGTACAAGTAATGTTAAACATACCAGAGATATGAACTGTATTGAAACACTTACCCAAGTTGTAGTCAGCTCCCTAACCCTCTTGAGTTGGCTGAAAGATTTTCTATCATCTATCTACTTAATTTTTGTAACCTTTGTGTATATTATGAGTTAGTGATTCGTGTATGAGACATACAATTGATTAAGTGAAACACTCCAAAGAAGAACTCAGCTTAACTCTTCATGCATGTGTACAGAACAGCTACAGCTTACATATACTACCTATGGCTTTTGCTTTTGTGCTAGAAGATAATTTTTCCTTTAAATTATTTCTGTTCCTTAAATTAAGAAAGATACTAAAACAAAAATAACTCTGAAATGTTTGATCAGGTTCTGATGCTTTCTAGATAGGTTTTTCAACCTCTGTCTTTTGGGGTGCTATCATATCTGAGAGTTGGAACTAATGGAAGTTCTCATAATCTCCAACAGAGTTTTTTTCAGAAAGTTCTGGTTTTCAACAGTTCCAAAGAGCAGCTATCTTTCTAATCAAGCCATTAATTATTCTGACTCCTTTTGGGAGTTTAAAAGGCTATTAGAAATATACAATTATTAATTTCTACTTATCTACAATGCAAGCTGCTGAATACAAATTGCATATTGACTTGTATGGACTGGAAAAAATACATATTATAAATATTGCCTACATTTCTCTTTTAGAATCAGTGATGGAGGCGTAAGGCCATTTGTACAAGGTTCTTCAGGAGCTAAGCTAAGAGAGCTGAATTTGACTAATTGTATTCGTGTCACTGATGCTTCTGCCACAGAAATAGCACAAAGGTACCATAGTCCAGTACAATATTTTTCTAGTGTGGTTAGACTTTCAACATATTTCTAATGTTAATATTCTTAATATGTTAATAAATGGGTAAAATTATACAGCAGTTATATACAGAAAATTGTACTAGATAAATGACTAGTCCCTTCTGGCATTGTGAATCTCTTAAAAAATGATCCATTATATGAAGGGGAATTCATCAATATAAATATGGAAACCTGAGAATTCTTAATTTTAGAGGGAAAAAAGTGCTTAAATGATGGTTGTCAGTAAAAAAACTGCATTAAAAGATTAGTCTGTATAAGTCGTATTTTTGTAAACTCAGTAAATACTAATATCTGCAGAAACAAAAAACACTCTCTTGCTAAACTTCTTCAATTCCAGTTCCTCAGGAGTAATATTGGATAGCTGAGCATCTCTGAGCACAGATTTCTTAGGTCTTCTGGTTTGGTTATGGGAACATGCAGTTAATGGTGCTTACTTTCACAGTAAAATTCAGTCTTCCATGTATGGTCAGTCAGTGCTGATTTGCAGAACCTGGCAATGTCTTCATTTGCTGTGTACTGTTATTTGTGTAGATGTAGCTGGGTGTGGGTACAGGCATGGGGTCCTGAATTCTGTCGTTGTGGTGAGGTTTGAAGTTCCTGTGCAAGATATGAGGGATTTGGAGATGAGGACAAGTCAAGCATTAAACTAATTAAAAAAATATTTTTATTTGTAATATAGCTCCTTGATTTCCGTATTTTGATTTAATTTCATTGCTGTTCATCATTTGAAATATTTGTGATGCTTGTGCATTATGAATATAATCCTTGGAAGTGCCTATGTAAGCTAGGTATCAAAAGTCTGGTATAATTTCATGCGTCTAGAGTACTTATTTTCATAGGTCCCCTGAAAAAAACTTAGCAAGGTTTATTACAAAAAGGTACTTCCTATGCTACATTTCTGTAGCAAAAGTAGAAAGATGACATTTCTGTTTGTTTGTTTGTTTGTTTGTTTTAAATTTAATTTAGATGTCATGAATTGACCTACCTAAATCTGCGTCACTGTGAAAATGTGACTGATGCTGGAATTGAAGCTTTGGGAAATATGTCATCATTGATATCCATTGACCTCTCTGGAAGCAGCATCTCAGATATGGTATATATATGATTAAAGAATGAAGAATGTGTTTACTATTTATCTAGGCTTTCTGAAAAAATGCAATAAAAATCCATTCATTTAAAAACCTGCATGGATATGAAGCAGTGGAGTTGCAGTATCATGAAAACATATTTAGAAATGTATATAATACAGTATTAACCCATGTATAGGCAGTACCCATTAAAAGGTAATACTTACGTTGAACAATTCTCACATTTGAAAAAAAGAAACAGAAACTGTCAAAAAGAGAAAGTGTAGCTGCTGTGAAACTGATCTGAAAAAATGTTTGTTAAACTGAAGTTTTTTGCTACAGGATGATTAGACCTGAGGAAAACTGGGGAAAAAAAAAAAAAAGATATTTTTTAAATTTTATATTTGTAAAAGTTGTGTTTTCCATGAACTAGATTTTGTGGTGAAAAATCCTGAATGTTAGCTGTAGCAGAGGCACTGCTTTACACTGTGGTCTAGAAAATAATTGCTACTGAAAGAATTACTAACAAGGTATCTTCAATGTGTCAAGTTGCTAAGACTCTGGAAAACAAAATAGCGAGTGTGGGAGCCAGGTGAAACATCACAGGCCTCCACATTAGATGTTCTTGGCAGGTCCTGCCTTGTGCGCAGGATTCACAGCCATTTTGCTGTTTCTTTTACTTTTGGGACAAACTCTTTTCACTGAACACAGAAACCTAGGAGAAACCTTGTGAAAAAACTTGCCATAGAGACTATTCACTCAGTCGCAATTCAAACAGAATTCTGACTAAGAACTTTATTATCTATCTCTAACACAGAGTCTGTGCAAAAGTAATTAAAATGTGAAAAAAGTAATTAAAATGCCTGTGTCTTTTGTGGAGGCCTGGAAAAAAAAATTAAGCTAAATAAAGGTTGGAAAATCCAAGAAGACTTCATGTAATGTGATCATTTAAAATATCATTAAATTATATCTAAATGAAATTTATAATCCCCTGAATTACAGTCCCACAATGTTTCAACAGAAATGTTTTCTTTCTCCTTGCCTGCCACAGCTGGTCTTTTAAAGTGCTATGTTGCTTCTCACTCTTGTTTTTACATAGCACAACCCATGACCTCGGCAATAAGCCAAGCTTTTTGCTTACACTGCATTTCTAAGGCTTTCAGTTGCCTCCCTCCCACAAGACAGATAAATCAACCCGGAAATTAGCCATTTATCATTTTTGTAATTTCTGATATGATTGCTAGGACTAGCTACAAAACTGTTATGGTTTTTGCTGTTCACTGTGGTTTAAGTATATAACATTCACACATGTGTAATAAATACATTTTCTAATCCTGAAACATGATTTGATAAAAGGAAACCTAGCAGTCTGCTTTGCAACGAGCTACTATTTGTATGCATTGACTTTATATTATGCATTTTATTAGCATATAGATGAAGTTGTATTAAGATATCTTTAAATTAGGACTTTGTAAGTACTGTTGCCAAATTGCTTTAGAAATGTAGCAGAGAACACAATGTTTTATATGCAGTAATCGACACCATTATGCTGTGCTGATAAAGAGAAAATGTAAAGCTTATATGCTTTCCTGTAGTCTGTGCAGTAGATCTCTGTTGCTTTTGCCATCTTGCTATTTAGTGTGAAACACGTAGAATGCACAACATAGATTTGCACTACACAGGAGAATTTTTCTTTCTAGTTTTTCAAATGACGGCAGAATCATTCTGCCCATCAAAGCAGAGCAGAAAGTACTGCAATAAGGATGACATATACTTAAGGAAAGGACAGAGGAGAAAAGATACAGTAGAGTCAGATTTTTGTGCAGATTTGTGCCTCAGGTATGATTGATTTAATCAAAATGGAATTTCTTTCCACTGTTGGTGGAAACTCTGTAGTTTCTCTGATGCCAAATAAGTTAAATGTTCCTGTTTCAATCTGTCTTTCATTCAGGGAATGTATTGCACTTGGAAGAAATATATTGACTCTCAGAATTTTCCTGATGAGATCTTGTTAATGAAATAAAGTACCCTGTAGACTCACAGTAATTAAAATATGCAGTGCTAATAAGAAATACAGCACTCACCTCTCTCTCATGTTTGGAGAAGTTTATTATCCTTGTCCTGAGTCTACTTGTCAACAGAAAGACTGGGAATTGAATAAAAATGATCATTGCATCTATTCAAATTTTGGTATTGTATAGAAAGTTATGCATTTTACTTTGAGAGAAAATGCCTAGGAAAACTTCTAAACAGAACCTAGAATAAGGCAAGTAATTCATCACATATTTAAGGTTGTATGTATGCTTGCATGTCTTGCTAGATAAAAATCAAAGACCATTCATTAACAAAACCAAATATTATCCAATGAAGAGGATATCAGCTTTATACATTTGAGAGACTGGTGGCATACCAAAGACGTTACTGCACTTTTCTCATTAGGGCTTTGATTATATTGCTTTTACTTACATAAAATACATAACGTAACATTAAATAAAATAAAACACAATTACATCTAAAATATTGATTTATTCACTCAGTTATTTTAGCATTCATCCTTTTACATTTCAGAAAATATATCCTTGTTTATTCAAAATTGATTTTTTAAAAATAAATTAACACACATTTTTAAGTCTCAATAACTTTTTTTAATAGTGGAAAGGACATTAGTTCTGTTTTTGTCACTCCTGAAGTACTAGAAATTGGTTTCTTAGAGCTATAAGCAACTTTAAAGAGACTTAGAAATGGAAAGATTTGCAACTTAGTGACAGCATCTTTTTTTTTTAAAGACTCAATGACTGTGCAAAAAATGTTGAGTTCTTTGAAAAAACTGTCTTTAAATTCTTTGAGAAAACTCCCTTTTTTCTTGCTAGCCTCCTGTCCCTCACTGTTTTCCCTCACCTTTCACTCTCCTGAACTCCCTGGAATAGGGACCATAGGTTTTGGGGTTTGAATTGTGAGTATTATGAACATTTTCATGAATGCATAGATAATACTGTAATCACAGCTCATTTTAGATATCATTGTAAAGGGCATTTACAATACATACAAGGTGTTTAAGCTTCTATTTTGGAGCTGGAAAGACTGTCATTTAGGGGTAAAACCTATTTCTCTTTCTTATAAGAGCAGTCTCAGTGACTCAGTGGAAATGCTTCCTTGAGTTAGAGAAGCAATTTTATTTATAAACTTTATTCTCATGCTCTCCATATTTTTGTTAAAATGTCTTGAACTTTTTCTGATGTCTAAATGACACAGCTTTGGCAGCTTTGCTGCAAGTCTGAGAGTCTGAAAGCATGCAGCTGCCTAGCTTTCCTTGTTCTGACACAAACTGCTAATGCATATGGCCTGGACCACCCATCTTCTTGGGACATGAGAAAAACATTAAGTATAGAAGTGTCAGGACATTTGAAGAAAGTGTCTTAAGTCAAGCAGGATTTAGATAGTCAGAAAAAGCATAGTAAAAAATAATAAAAGGAATTGTTAAAGTAACTTAGTTGAATCCTGAGATATATAGAGCATCCAGCAACAAAAACAGTATATGCCCTGACATAGACTCAGGGAAGCTTAATATCAGTGGTGAATTATATGCAGTGTAATAATGAGAGAGAAAAAAATAACCTAAGACATAAAAACTACGTAAAATACTTTAAAAGTGGGAAGAGCCCTGATATACTTCTGAAATCAAAGATAAAAAGGAAATATGAAGTGTGCAAAGAAATGTTCTTTGCTTCGGCATTTTGTTCCACAGTGATTCTCATGCATTAAATTATCTCTCGTAATAATCTAAGGCCCCATTCTCTCTTCTGGCTGAAATACCTCCCAGGAATTATGTGTGGCATCAAGTCAGCTGATCAGTCACAGATTTTTTGCATGCTATGTGTAGTTACTCTTTATAGTTGAGGATAATTTGTAATCATGAGGAAATCTGGAGCAGTGGTTATATGGATGTATAAACAATTACCTCAACTTGCTTTTCTTATGTGTTTGTACTTAGTTATCTTCAGAACCTGGCTGGTCCTGAAGACAAAGCTGCAACATAAATACTTACTAATATTTTAATAATAAGTTTCTAAATAAGGAAAAAAACCACCCAAACCCAAAAGCGGTATTTTGGCTTTCCACAGTTATCTAGAGTAATTTCTTTGCACTCTTAGTGGGATTCTGGATCTATGGTGACTTGAATCCGTAGCCTGGCTCCACATTTTGGTCTGTTGGAAAATTACGCCAGTAGGACTGAGGAAGAGCCTTGTAAAGGTTAAGAAGAAGGTAAAGAATATTATCAGGACTAATAGATATAACCAGCAACAGACCGCAAATTAATTAGTCGCATTTGATTTCCAAAGGAAAGGATGTGACAAATCATACGCATTCCCAAGGCAGGGAAAAGGAAATGTTAAAATATATTAAAATGGGCTCCAAATTCAAATGTTAGCACTCCAGTTTGCTTGGGAGAATAGAGAAGGAGAGAATTTAGCCTGGAGACTTAGAAACTTAATTCTGCATAGAAATAGAAAATGCTAACACAGAGAGTCATTACAATCAATGCCAGATGGGCTAACACCTTGATCCCCAGTGCAAATCTGTAGGAATTAAAGGTACTTAGCAATGTTGAAAATTGGGCTCGATATTTTTACAGGATGTTTTGTTACAATGGAAGCCCTGTTGTCTGGACTTAGTGTCAAGAAACATTGGCAAATGTATTTCATAAGTTATGATCTGGTCTAGCCGCAAATGGTGTTAGGTACAGAAATTAAATTTTATGGCATGCATTAACACAAAGTCATGCAGGGGGATTTCTGCACTGCGATAGCAAAATGTCTCTACAGTTCCTGTAAACAGATCTGTCCCACCTTTATATTAGCTCAGGTATTGCAAACACCATAGCTACGTTTGGTAAGAACTTGCCATTTTCCAGAATGTTTTTGCTATCTGAAACTGAACTTTGTTCTGCCACGTATGTATCGTTATTAGCAAAATAATACTGCATGATAGAAATTACATTCTTGTCTTCTAGTGTTTGATCCATGAAACTGGTACCTGACTGTGGCTAATCTGTGCAAAAATCTGAACATTTTAGAGGATAAGATGGGTCATTTAATATTAAATGGCTCAGAAATGGAAGGTGGAAGATACCTCTTTAAGAGCTGTCTTCCCAGATTTGAGTCACTTTGAGGTCAGTCTTTTTGGTTTGGGGTATGAACAGGAAGTAACATCTGTATATCTCTTGAACATAAAGATACATTACAGATGCTGACCTTTAAGGTTACACAGAGATATGTGAACAGAAATCTCTGAAGAAGTTGAAAATAGCGTACCACATGGTTGTTGTTAGCGAGAGATGGTACATTCGTTGCAGTCTGCAGTTGAAAGGCAAAGACTTGCAGCTTGTGAATATAAATAATAAAGAGTTGTTCTTTGGTATGCCATAGCCTCAGATGTCTTTTGCCTCTAGCAAGTAAAGACCCTCACCAACTGGTAGAGTCGATACTCATTTTCTCATGTACAAAACCCATGGTGAAATAATAATAAAATATGTTCTGCAAATGTCTGTAGGCCTCACATAATAAAGTAAATGAAACAGAACAAAAATGTAAAAATTGCTTGAAAAAAGCAGCTGTTGGAGAGGAATAAGAAGTTTCTTTTAAAGTGGTTTCCTAAATGGAAATGGTAATATACATGCTATACAAGAGACGCGAGACAAAGCCTTCCCTTCCTCCATGGCAACAGAAGATTGATCCAAGATACATGGGGTGATTTCTTTATGTTAAAGGGGAAGTATGCTTTTGGAGACACATAGAGTGGGTGATCCTAGTCAGTATGTTGCACAGTATTTGTTTTGCTTGCATCTATTTCCAGGAGTTCCAATGATAATATGATAGCTCTGACCATATCTTTCAAAAATGTCAGGAGGCTTAGTATAGAAGATAAAAGTCCCTAGAAATAGGTCAGTATGCTGGATGGGGGTCCCTGATGTTATTTATTAGGGAATACTGCTGAATAAATCAGAAAGTCTAATAAAACTGGTGATAACTGGCTCCTTTGTAGATATGTTAGATACAAAAATAATATTTAAAAATTTCATATAGGTTAGCTTCCTGTGTAGAGCTTGTTTGAAGAAGTTTCTTTCTGGAAATGTAAAAGTTTCATAGTTTTTCTATGTAATAGACAGTTCCTAATGACCTTCCTTGTCTTCCATGTCTTCCCTCGTTCCCTTCACAAATCTGGAATTATTAAGGAAATACCTCAAAGGAGACCTTGATTTCCTTTGGGAAAAAAAAAAAAAAGTTGTTCTGTGGTTCAGTGTCACTCTAGTAATATAAAAGATTATAAATTAACTTTGAAGTTATAGCAGCATTACTTGTCATGTAGCAAAAAATTTTATAATATTCTTCAGTATTTCATTACCAAGTATATTAAAGTGGTGCCATTTTTAAATAAAGAAAAATGGAAAAAGAAATTATGTCCATAAGGTCACACGTATCACTATCAGTCTGTGCTGTAAGGAATTCAAGTTCTGACATAAACCCACTTGGGGTTTAAGTACATAACTTTTTTTTTGTCTTGAATAGGAGTGCTCTGGTCAACAAAAATTTGATATCTGTAGATTTTCATGAAGCTGTTGAAAGTAACGCTCACCACATAATTGCGTCTGCTGAGAAAAATGCAAATTTCTTTGTTTTCATAAGTAGCCAGAATTGGAAATCTCTTTCATTATTCCATTTTTTGTTCTTATTCAGCCTGTGAGATTTCAGGAATTTGCAAAATTTGAACTCTAGCCGCACTCTTCCAGCATTATCATTACAGTGTCCACATCTGGATTCCAGACACTATTTACATGTGCTTATTTTTTCAAGATGATATTTCCTCTCTGCGCAATGCTGTGCATTGCCTAATTGTAGATAATTTATTAACCATATGGAATAAAGTGATAACTTTTTTTTTCAGTAAGGTTTACTTTCTTGATATAAAGCACTGAGATATTCTGCTGTGACTATCAAAATACATTTTACAAAGTCAACATTTAATTCTCCTTCAGATTAGAGAGTTTAGGATCAGAACATGGTCCTGTTTCCTGGTGTACAAGCAGTAAAAGTCACAAAATATCTTCGGGTCCTTTTGCACTCCTAAAATAGGAATTTACCAAAGTTTTCACCTCCCTGTTGTCTTGAATATGGGGGTTGTTCATGCACCTATGAGTGTGACTGCACCATTTCAAATGCTGTCTTGTACCATAGCTGTAGCCATAAAGCCCTTACTGGTAAGCAAATCATAAAGGCAGCACTTTTAAGATATTATTTGGTCATAGCAAATTTTGTTCTTCCAATAAAAAAAAAATTGTGAAAACTTCTTTCAAACCCAAATTTTAGAGGAGATCTGTAAATGTATTTTGCTTTATGAGAGTCCTGGTCTGTGTCTCATGGAAGTATTTCAGGCCACAGTACTTTTCTTCAGTTTCTTTCTTTCTGAACAGGAAGGAAAATATGATTTTTTTGTTTTCTCAATTGAATTATTTCTGCAAAGAATTCTTCACCCTTGTACATACTTCAAGCAAAAATTGGAGGATAAACTATATGCATTCTGCTGAAGAGAATGTCTTAAAAAGTGCTGTAATTCTTGGATAGAAACTTTAATATACAGGCATTGGACATTATTGACCATCTTAACATATTAAATGTAATTACATATAATTGCATGGATTGATTTTTAAGATTAATTTTTCTGGAATTTTTTAGGGCTTGAGAGCCCTTGGCCGCCATGGAAAAATAAAGGAACTTTCTATATCAGAATGCAAAAACATCAGTGATACTGGGATTCAGGTAAAACTTCACCTCTTTTCTTGGTGTTTCCTGGAAGCCTCTGTATTTCTTCAAATTCACTAGGTCCAAAACTGATCTTCCTTTACTCTATATGTCATCATTTAGTCTTCATTACACCATTCTGCACTCTCACTCTTACAAATGATTCTCCCCTTTCATACCTTTCCATGTTTTTTCATGCCTTCCGTGAATTTTAATGCATCTTGAATTCTGCTTGACTCTGAAATTCACTCCAAAAGAGCCTTAATTTCTACTGAATTGTACTGTGCAAATTGCAGTCTAAATTGCTGGTACTATTATTTCTTTCTTGCTCTACAAATCCTTCAGCAATTTCTATCGAAAACATACTTTTCCCATTGCTGGTGTAGGCTTTCAGGTCTTGCTTTCTGCTTCTTTAGTCAGTAATTTTTTGAATGCCATATTTAGATGACTTAGCATGCCTAGCTCAATGGAATAGTTGAATTTCTTTTAGTCTGTTACACTTGGTTCCTCATGTGCTGCTGATATAATACATCGCTACATATCATTATCTCGTAGTGACACAAAAATATGTTTCGATATACCTCTAAAGGCATATGTCTTACCAGCATAAATGGTATGATTACTGTGATTAAAAATAACAAGTTATATTTCAATAAGAAATGCATGTTCATCTTCTCCAAATTGAATAGATGTCTTAGCTGTTTTATGGGAAAAATAGCACAAATTGCACTGTGTCATTATTTGAAAAAAACCTTTTAAAATGTCCTACAAAAACATCAAATGCATAATTTATTCATATCTAATGATAAAACTAATCTGCTAGAAAATGGACTATATGCCTTTTAAGCTAGATGTTTGAAATACTGACTTCTTATTCTAAAGATCTCATCATGCTCACAGCAAGACATGTATTGAATCTCACTAAACTTCATTTTCCCCATTGTTCTTAAAATAAAAAGATTAAGTTAAAATATGTATTGTTTAGTGTTTTGATCTTACATTTAGCCTATGAATTTAGAAATTTCCCAGGGTCAATAATCTTTATAAAGTAATCAGACAGGAAATTAATTAATTTGTAGAAAGGCAACCTACAAATTGTACTTGCCACAAAGGCAGTTGATAGTAAGTTATGAAGTTACACAGTGAGAAAATACTTTCTCTTTTGAATAATCAGCAGTCATCATAGAAATATTAATACTAATACAGTATTTTAATTTCATTTTACAATGCTTATGAATTTTTTTATATTTCTGATTTACTGATTCTTGTGTTTTTTTAATGAATGCCAACAATGAGACTTGCCATCCAAATATTTGACTTACCCTATCAACATAGCAGTAATTACATACTAAATTCTGATTTATTAGTATTCATTGTCTTGTTTTGGTGAAATCAGTTTTTCGGTGTCACTGTAATGCTTTTTATGGGTAAGGCATTGCATTGGAGACTGGAAAAGATTCAGAGAAGGTAACAGGGATGATCAGAGGTATGGTGCAATCTCCATAAAAGGAACAAATAAGTAAGTGAGGAACCTGCGGTCTGGAGAGGGAATGGCTGAGAGAATACGACTGAGATCTGTTCAATCGCAAGTGGCATGAAAAGGGGGGATAGAGGTCAACTTTTTGCTGTTTACTTCCATACATAATCTAGTGGGCATGAAATGAACCTAGTTTGAAAATTCAGAATGAAGAAAAGGAGATGACTGTTTCCAAAATGTAAGGTTAAACTGTGAAATTCTTTATCCTTATCACAGGTTGCTTGAAATTTACCTAAATCCTTATGGAGATCTAACAGATTCGATATGATTGCATAAATTTACTGCTTTGTGTTTCAGAACAATATAAGAAATAAACACTAGTTGGTAACTTTACAGTAGGAAAAAGAACCATCCAATTTGTTAGGAAGGAGAGACGATTTACATCCAAATAAGAGCACTTTTTTCCATGATTGAGAATTGTTCCTAACCCTATGCAACAGAAATACTTAAATAATTTTTTTTTAATTATATCAATTTCATGCCCATAAACAGCTGCAGATCATAAGGCTGCAGGTCAGGCAATGCCATCGCATAATCCCAGTCTTCAGCTTCTACATTTTTTCCATTATAAAGCTCCAACATCTATCATTTCATAGCCATATATTGTAAGACTGACTCAGTTGTTGCTGTACCACAAGGGATGCATCTGGATTGAATCTTGTTACCCAACATACATGTCAGGTCATTAGGATTTGCTTCTTTAGGAATAATTCTGACTCACTTTTCATGAATGCTCTGTGTAAAGTTCCATGTTTTTAACTGAAACAATGACCAAGTATGTACATCTTGTGTACATCATGGAAAATTGTGTAGCACCAGTGCTGCTGCTTTCAAAGGAGAATATTCACTTCTGCCTTGTGCTATGCTTATGACTATGGAGCGATTTCAGTTGTCTCACTACATAGAGTAAGTTAAAAAAAAAAAAAACCTGTGAAAAAAAGAAGTGTTTATGCTTTCCTTGTCTGCCATATGAATTTGAACTTTTTGAGAAAGAAAGCATCAGCAGGGAGTACATGTAGGAGTTACAGAAGCCATGCTGTCATGGATCTAGCAAGGGCAGGAGAAAGAAGAAGAGGTATGAAGTAACTCGAAACAAAATGGCAAGTCCTTTTTTGTAAGTTCAATCTAAGGATATGAGTCTATGGAATATTTGTGGAGAGTAACCCCATTGTATGCTGCATGACTTGGTTATCCTTTGATTATATAAAGAATATTTAAATTATGTGAAAAGAAAATGCATATTAAGAGGGTTTTACTAGCACTGTTAAGGTAAATTGCTGGAAAGTTATAAAATAACTGAATAATATAACCAAAAATAATACAAACAGAAATAATGTTGAAAGTCCAGTGTTAATTCTTTTACTTGTTCCCAGGCATTAGAACAGTATGTAAATGCTTATGTGATCACATAATTTGTAAATAGGATCTTTGCTCATTCATAGGTCAGATGATGCTCACTTAATGAGCAGCAATTTAGTATTTCATATTTTCATTCATGCTTGTGTGTGTCCTCAGGCCTTATTTACACAGAATTAAAATTGTGCAAATAAGTTAGAAAATTATGTTCTTTTCTTCATATAGTATTTGATTCTTTGTAATGTCTAAATGTTTTGCAAACATTATTTATCTTCACAACCTCTTCTGTTATTTTCTTTATAGGCATAGTACCAGGGATACAGAGACGAAGAGAGCAAACAAAACTCCATTCCCTTGATTGCGAATATAATTTTAGTGCTATTTGCAAAATAACATAGGGGTAGACTTAAGAGCAAATTCAGAACTTAACTTTGAAGGATATTTTAAATATGTATGTAGACAAACTATGCCAGTAAAAACAAGATAAACATAATCTCACAGGCATTGAAATCTTGGCTTCAGCTTGTGTTACATACCCTAGCTGAGAATGTAGTGATTAAGTCATCACATCTGAGGCCTAATTCTGAAGGGAGTGGAGTTTCTCTTATACATGGATAAAAAAACGTTCAGTTAGTGGGTTTAGAATGTTTCTGTATTGCAGGTAGCAAACAGCCTGTAGAGCTAAGATTGAAATACAAAAGGTACAGAAGCCAATTAATATAAATTCTGAATTGTCCACTCTAACCAGTCCTAAGTTAAAACATTGACATGCTAATATTTTTGTAAAATAAAACAAGAACCAAAAGCCCAAGAAGCACTGCCTTGATACAGCTGTGATGATAGAAAAAAAGAAGCTAGAATGAGGATACAGACAAAAAGTTCTAAAATTCCAGTCTATGAAACAAATTTCAGACTTAATAAGTTTCTTTACATCTGTTAGGTAAGACTTATGAAAATCACACAGAACCACATAATTTTTGGTCATAACAAAGCTAACATTTTCCAGTGATCAACCATATGTTAGTGTCTGAGTTCCTGTTCTACGTAAGGAAAAAAATAGCCGTGTGTCAAAGACAATAGTCTGATTACTACAGAATTTTTTTCAGAATGATAAATATGTAATATTTGTACATGATAAGTATGTGCATTTGTGTGTGTCTGTGTGCATGCACTTGTGTTATTTATCCGTGTAGTCTTTAGTCTGTTTATCTCAGGACTAATTCTTGAAAGTTTTGAAAAGCTTCATGCAACCAGTGTTTTTTATTCAATCTGCTACATAAGTATTTCCTTCTTTCTTCTACAGAGATAGACTTCTCATTCCAGTGAATGACGAATTACACTGGACTTAGGCCAAGATTAGCAGGGCTAGAAGTTCAGCTCAGTGACAAATTTAAGGCATCTCACCATGGTTTTAGGCTGGACATCACAGAAGAGGAGAGATTCTCACTGAAGCTAAGGCTTTGCTTGAGCCGCAGCATATTCTGTGATGCTGACATCGTGGCACCGTTAGGTGAAGAAATAAGATTTTAGGCTGTTTGGTTCTTGAGTTAACAAATCTGAAAGCTCTTCAAGAGAAGGTTTCCACAAACACAAATTATATACCTTCTCCTTCTCTTTGTAGGTCTAGAAGTGAATATTTTCAGGTTTGAAAAAGATTCAGGACAAAAGGTAAACAAAGTTTCAGAATGCAAAGGAGAAAAGGATATTTTATGAAAAAAACTCTTCATAGGAGTTTCATTGCAAACAATAAATGTGCATAGTATCCCAAAGTTATAACGACCCGTGTTTCATGAGAGGCAAAATTTTATGTGGGATTCTCTGATGCTATTGAAAATACATACTTCAATGTGCATTTTGCCAAAAATTTTCATTCATATGATCACCTGTCAGAAGTGCAAGTATCAAATGTAAGATGAAAAATACAGGAGCACATTGAGTTGGTCAAATTGTCCCTTTGGTCTTTTCACCTGGCTTTGTAGAAGAGAAGATGAGAAAGATATTCATGTAAAAATTAAAAAACTAATGTAGAGGGGATGTCTTAATAGTAGTAGTAGTAATAATAGTAATAATAATACTACCTTACACCTATTTATCACTTGCCATCTGCAGGTCACCAAAACGTTTTGTAAAGAGCTCTTGCAGTTTCATAATGTGTGAAGTTATCTCCACTCCATTTTATAAGCTGGGAAAGGTCACTGAACAGTTTGGTCTGTTATTTTCCAAAATTATCTGTTTTACAGGGCGTATGAAAAAGCTAATACCTGAGTTACAAAGGTGCTGGAATTGAAGTCAGTAGGATCTGCAGGTGCTTATTTGCTCTAAAAATGAGGACAGAAATTGTAGTCAACAGGTATCAGAGCAGAAACTACACAGCACTTCAGCCACAGTTAACTGGACTGAACTCCACAGAGAAATCAGAACCTAGAACTCCCAAGTGCCAGTCCTGAGATTCTTACCCATTACTTTCCAAGAAAATAATGTAATTTATACAGTTGTTCTTTCATTTTTGCAAAAAAAAAGAGAAAAGTTAATATATACAAAAATGGGCATTTGCAGAGTAGAAGAAATTCAACATATTTTAATATATACAGTGGAACTTACATGAATGTTAGTCTAATGAACACATAGTATAATATATAAGCAGTGGAAAATAGCCTCTTAATGCATCTCTTCTTTTTCTAGTGACATTCACAGCCAACAGCTGAATTACTTCGTTATTAAAAAAGGATACCTAAAAAACTGAAGTGCCTGAAGTGGATCAAAGGATTGATGTAAATGTATCATAAATTGAGAAAAATAGAGTAGGCATGTCACCTAAGAATGGTTGGTTTGTTTGTTGCTCTTTCAGGAGTTCTGCAAGGGCACAAAATATCTGGAACACTGCCATGTCTCTTACTGCCCTCAGCTGACGGATGAAGCTGTGAAGACAATGGCACTTCACTGCCACAGACTAACATCTGTCAACATAGCGGGTTGCCCAAAGGTATGTGTAAGAAATGGGGCAATAGTTCTGGGATTGCTATTGTAAAGAAGTACTTAGTATTTCATTCAGAAATTTGACCTGCTGGCATCTGTGTCTTGTCACAATTTTACAACATACTCAACTAATTTAGAAATCGGAGCTTAAGTTCAGGTGACTTTCCATGAGTTTTAAGTTCTGAGACTTGGCTCTTGAGAGTGTTTGGTGTTCTTCTAATGGTTGCAGTTACAACATAAAAGACTCCATGCTGTATCAGGTAGAAGTTTATCTCTCCAGGGGTTGATGTCTAGGGCAGGGTGAAGAGAGAAGGACTTTTAGTGATGCTTCCTGCAAATACTTTCCCAGCTTCTGGTGTTTTGGGTGCTTCCAAAGGATGATGTCTTTATTTAAATAACTCCTGGTATTTACATGCTTTATTTTTTCAGCACTCTTTCTGAATCCAGGTAAAGCATAAACTGAAGCATGAGAACTTTATACCTGTGGCTTTATATGGCAGGGCAGTGGCTATTTTGAAAATAGGAGTAGTGCCTAGAAGCTGATGCACTGAGAGATGTAAATTCTTGCTTAATTATTTTGAAGATTCTAAGCCTAAGAAACTAAATCCTTTGAAAAATCAAATTTATGAGTTATTTGGATAACTTACACCTATGGAAGGGAGCCTTCCTTAGGCTGTTTTTTATAGTCAGTGGAGAGAAGTGTTCCTACAAAGCATCGGTCAGAAAACCTTTCTTCAGTTCTTTGAGAAGCCCCATCTCTCTACTGATGACTACTAGAATGAGACTCAGAATAATAGTCATCCCTAGGCTACATGAATATTCCCTTAATATCCAAGTTAGTGTGACAGTTTTGCTAGTGGTTCCCACTGTCACCAGTGTGCTTTGGTGAGTCCAAGGTGGTGTATTGTGTTTAGTAGGTGTTTATTACCAATAAAACCATGTGCAGATGCAGCCATATTCAATTAACTAGCATCTCTTCAGAAAAGCTGCTCAACTAATTTTCATTCAGGATGTCTAGATATCTGAAAAAAAAAAAATATTTATTTCCAGCTATTGATTTATTTAGATTCAGATTCATCTATAGTGAAACTTAGTTCCTCTTTACCATGAGCTTACACTACAGCATTTTTACTTGCCATATTTTCTGTATCATTTCTTTTTGATTAAAGTCTTGCACTTCAATTATCTTTTTCCAGTATCAGAATGTGTGTTCCTTTTTGAAATTATTGCTGTTATGAACGCCTAAATCTTCTTTCCTGTACTTTCTGACTTAATACCTCTAGGGTTTGTGCATTTAATTATTTCTGTACTTTTAATTATTTTTTTTAATAGCAAAACCAAATACTTGCTGCATTTTTGCAATAAGTGTTCAAATGCAATTTTTAAAAGGCCGATTCAATTTTTTTTAATTTCATGGAAAAAGTTGTTGCAATGTTGCTTCCACCACTATCAAGTGGGAATAGACCAAGTTTATTACTACTTTTGGAAAAGTTCATCTTAAACTATCCTTTAAAATTTCACCATACTCGTTGGACCAGTTTCCCCCTTTAAAAAACCATGTCCTGTTTTCTTGCACAATACGTCTGCAGCCATCACTTGTCCTTGCCTTACTCCTCTCCAACACCCATCTCCATAACCCTTGACTGTCCTTTCAATCCTCCACACAGTTCTCATGTTCTCTTATTCACTGCAGTGGCTGAACACAGCCTCCTGGCCACTTAGTTTGAGATGATTTGGCTGACTAGTTAGCCAGCCCTAAATTATAAATATTCTGTTCAATTTGTTTGCCTTCCCAAAGTTCCTAAGTTTCTCAACCTCTAGACCAAAAGCCATAGGCTGTGTTTCAGATTTGGCAGGCCAAGGAAGTTGCTCTGTGTCTTACAGTAGCCCTTAGTTTATATCTTACAGATACCTACTGTACACTGTTAATTATTATAAACATGGGTCTCAATCTCCTGTGTCCTTTGCTTTCAGACAGATATTAAGCTATTTTTCCATAATAACAGTGATAATAGAAGTTGTGCATGGAGATCTTCCCAAAGTAGTTGAAGTTAAGTAGTGTTGCAATCAGTTGTCTCTGCCCTGCTTTCCACTACACCTTATATGCTAACACAGGAAAACAAAACAAAACAAAACAACCCTATAAAATGGCAGTAAATACATTTAGGCTGGAAATTGGGAATTATCTGAGAAATTATCTGGAGCAGTGAACTGTAAAACAGCATCCTGGGAAGGGAGACAGGGGCAAAGTATTAAGGAATGTTAGGATGGCTCTTGGTAAGGGAATGAACTGGGTCGTATTTTGCAGTTCCTGCAAATGGGAACAAGAAGTAAGACTCAGTGACCTAGTAATCCCCTTCCAACGCTTTGTTCCTAGATGGTATCTTTTCTTTAAATGGTTATAAAGCTAATCTGTTAACTGCTAATACCCTACTATTTTCAGAAAAGAACATTGGGACTCTTCCAAGTAAACCTACACCAAAGTTTACAAGTCTTTTTTTGACTTGAATCCAGCTTGCAACTCCATAAAATGAGATGGGTACACCTGTGGATGTTAAAAATAATGGGTCTTTCAAATCCTTTGGCAATCTCTAGTGTAAATTGAGGGGATCCAGCTGCTAAGTAAGGAAATATTTTCCACTCAGAGACTGTTTAAAAATGGTCAGGCGATTAAAGTAAGAATTAACCTATTCCAAAGGATATATGTTAATATGGCTTACAGTCATGTCCTGCAACATCATCTATATTATATATAAAAAAAAGAATTTAAAAAAAAAAATCATAGAAAGAGAACATGGAAAAAATCAATATAGAAATACACATCCATTAAGAATGTTTTGGCATGTGCTATGCAGGTTACTCTAAAATTAGAAGAGCTTATTACTTTAATCATATCTACTGGGGCAAATTAATTGTCTTTGAACAAACTCCACTGGCTTCAGTGAAAGTACAGTGAGCCTCCCTGTCATGTTTCTCTATACCTAGGACAGGTACAAGTCATTTTGCAAATGCTGATACTATAAAATATTCAGCAGTGCAGGTCTGAGTCTTACTCAGGGAATGAGCCTGATTCAACAGTAATTCTTATTTCATAGGAAAAGAATGAAGTTGCTGTGGGAACCCTATCCTACACATGAAAAAATACAACAAGAATTGAAAATAAATCTCTGGTTAAATGAATCAGCTATTTAAATAGCAAAGTGCTGAAGGCACAGTTCGATGGACAATGAATTCTGTAATTCAGTCCTCTAAAGGGAATAGGATTGAGTGTATGATGAATGTAGGTTTCTCTTAAATGCATCTGATATTGATTACTGACTTCAGAGTCAGCAACTTCTTTTTATTTCAATAAGAATATTAATCTATTTATTAATCTTTTAATCTATTTATTAATATATTGCAGATCTTAATATTGAGCATATAGCTAAATCTGGAATAAGCAAAGCACAGAATTACCTTTATATTCCAGGAGGACTGTATCGTGAGATAGTGTGCTAATTTTCTGTTCCACAACCCAAGGTCCCAGCTTCATCTTGTTTCCTTGTCCCTTTTAGATTCTCATGAGATTTGCTGTTTAATGCAAGTGAAACCCTCATCTGTCTTTTCACCATACCGCTCCACTGATTTTAATCAAGTATCTTTAAAAGGTCTTAGTATGTCCCCTCTTGATTTTTGGTCCTGACTGAACAAGGTAGTTAAAGTATGTGCACAATGTATTCTTGACTGTTCCTGTTGAGGTCAGTGGAGCGATTAAATAGCTCACATGACTGCTTATGTACCTTGAAGTCTCTGTGTCTCCTGTTCTTCTCAAATGCAACGTCCAACATTAATGGCAATGGGTGTCAGTTTAGAAAAATGGAATTGTGAGGTGAAACTAAAGCAGCTCTGCTTCAGAGCTAAAGAAAACCAGCTATACATGAAAAAGATCTTGGTGCAAGACACTTATTTGTAACAGAGAACTCAGATACAAAACTGATATAACAAAACTGTAAGTGCAGCCTAATAGTTTAGTGAGAACAATGCAATAGCAGGTAAGGCTAAAGGCTTATATGTGCTACATGCAAAATTATGAGGTTGGGAAAGTGAAACCATTCTGATTAGGTGAAAAAAATCCAGCAATAATTTAGACTGTACTGGAATCACAGTTAACTAATATCTAATATGCTCCTGATATTTAAGTGACAGTTCCTCGCAGAGATTCAGAATTCTGCTGTGCCAGAAAGTTTACTTCCATGAAGCATTTTAAAACATAGTTTTCCCACAAATCAGACACTGAAATTGTGCTCTGTGTGTTTTTCTTTCAGCTATTCAATAATCTTCTAACTTCTGCATGTCTTGTTGCTTCATTTACAGATGACTGATACCTGTATCCAATACTTGGCTGCAGCCTGTCATTATCTCCACTTCTTGGATGTCTCAGGTTGCATTCATCTTACTGACAAAGCGCTGAAATATCTTTGGAAAGGTTGTAAGCAACTTCAGATTCTCAAGATGCTGTACTGTAGAAATATTACCAAGTAAGAGGATATTTCCTAATCTTAATTGAGGGGTGGTTGTAAACCCAAAAACATGAGGTTTTTTTTTTTTTCTTCATTGGCATGATGGTGCCATGCTAGGTATCTGGCTTAAGCCATCTTGCTTCTTTATCTAGGGGATGTCCACATTTCTGCTTTAGGATTCCTTTGGCATGGTGTGGGAATCTACATGTCCTACTGTTAGCCAGAAGTGAAGAGAAATAGGGACCCCATCAATCTTTATGGCAGACAACATCCTCTCAGGGAAGTTTCTGCAGACACAGGATATCACCTTAAGGGCACATGGGAAAATGAGAGAGAAAAAAAGACTGGGTCTAGCACTCTCAGCCATCACACTATGTCCTTTAGCTCACTGAAGGTTTGTGGAAGCCTCTTTCCCAGTGACGGAATGTCAGTATACAGAAGTAGATGTGGGCCTGTGCTCAAAATGCAGCATGGTTACAGCGAATGAGTCAAGGTATCATAAGCATGGTTTCATGAAGTACAAGTGAAACATACTTGTTATGTATCTACAGTTGGAAAAAACTGGTCATCTACCACAATGTAATCCAACTTCCCCACTGGTGTAAACCGACCGAGTCTCCTGATTCCCCACGATATTTAAAAGCCAGTCGGTTCTGGTCAGGTTTAGAATGACAGAACCATAGAATATCTCAAGTTGGAAGGGACCCATAAGGATCATCAATTCCAACTCCCTGCTCCTTGCAGGACTACCTAAAACTAAACCCTATGACTAAGAGCATTGTCCAGATGCTCCTTGAACTCTGAGAAGCTTGATGCCATGACCACTTCAATGGGGAGCCTGTTCGAGTGACCAGTCACCCTCTCAGTGAAGAACTTTTTCCTAGTGTCCCATCTGAACTTCCCCTGACACAGCTTCATTCCATTTCCTCTTGTCCCGTCCCTGGTCACCAGAGAGAGGACATCAGCACCTTCCCCTCCACTGCCCACCATGAGGAAGCTGTAGACTGCGACAAGGTCACCCCTCAGCCTGCTCTTCTGCAAGCTGAACAAACCAAGTGACCTCAGCCGCTCCTCATAAGTCTTGCCCTTGAGGCCTTTCGCCATCCTGGTTGCCCTCCTCCAGACACACTCCAATAGTTTGATGTCCTCATATTGAGGTGCCCAAGACTGCAGCCAGGACTGGAGATGGGGACACACTGGTGCAGTGTAGGGTGGGACGATCCCCTCCCTCGACTGGACGACTGTGCTGTGCCTGATGCACCCCAGGGCACGGTTGGCCCTTTTGGCTGCCAGGGCACACCCTTGACTCATCTTCATCTTGCCGTCAACCCAAACCCCCAGATCTCTTTCTGCAGGGCCGCTTTCCAGCTTCTTGCCCCCCCGTTTGTGTGTATAACCAGGATTGCACTGTCCCAGGTGGAGAATCCAGCACTTGCTCTTGTTCAGTTTCATACAACTGGTGATTACCCAGCACTCTAGTCTACCCAGATCTCTCTGTAAGGCCTTTCTACCCTCGAGGGAGACCACAGCTCCCCCTAGTATAGTATCATCAGCAAACTTGATGTACATTTGATTCCTGCATCCAGATCATTTATAAAGACATTAAAAAGCACTGGCCTTAAAATTGAGCCCTGGCGAACTCCACTGGTGACTGGCCACCAGCCTGATGTAATCCCGTTTACTATAACTCTTTGAGCCCAACCTGTCAGCCAGTTGCTCACCCAACCTATTATGGACTTGTCTAGCTGTGTGCTGGTGTTTATCCAGAAGGATACTGTTAGAGAGAGTATCAAAAGCTTTGCTAAAATCCAAACCCACCACATCTGCTGGCTTCCCTTGGTCAACTAGATAGGTGACCTTATCATAAAAGGAAATTAAGTTGGTTATGCAGGACTTTCCCCTCATGAACCCATGGTGGCTATGACCACTTGGCATTGTCTCAAGTGTTTTTCAATAACTCCCAGAATAACCTCCATAATTTTACCAGGCACTGAAATGAGACTGACAGGCCTGTTATTACCAGGGTCTTCCTTCTTACCTTCCTTGAAAATTGGGAGAGCTGAGTTGGAGCTGAGTTTTCAGCTGCGAGTCTCAAAGATGTGGCTTCAATGTCCATCACCCTTCCATGGGGGTTAAGAGCATCACAGACCAGGCACCGTACACCTAGAACTGCACAGTAGCCAGACACGCCAAAGGGACTGAAACTGGAAAACAACTAAAGTTTAAGCATGATTGCTATATCTGGGTATATATCTTAATCAAACTTTATGAGAGTAAGAAATATATAATACTACCTTATAGAGAGAGAATCCGTACTAGGAGAGCTCTAACCCCACTCTAACAGGACCACTGTAGATAGTGCCCTTTCTGCTAAACCATTCCAGGGTTTAATAGTCACTTTAGGGACCACAAGACCAATGCAGATGCTTAATAACTTAAAAGATATTTCCAGTGTGCTTCATGATTTCCAAACACTCCTTGGTTTATTTCCCTCTGTCTCACCACAACCAATTCTGCTGTCATTTCTTTTATTTTCTTTACTTCTCTCTCACTTAGTTTTCTTAATGTCATCTCAGAACTTCCTTCTTAAAACCTCTACTTCTAATTAAATACTTGTTAGATACAGAAAGTGTTTTGAAGGATTGGTATGCAAAAGTAGTAATTGAAAAAATTATTGTAAATGAACTACACTGTTGATTCTGAAAAAAGATATTTCAAATACATTTAAGCTCCTCATAACTTTCTGATTTACAGTTTTTCTCATATTAAGCCTCAAGGGATTTTCTTTTACCCCCGGATTACTGTTGTTGACTTGCTTTTTCTGTGACTTCGTATCTCTGTTGAGAGCAGTAAACAGTGTGTCGTCCCTTTCTGGCTCTGGTTGTTTATACATCTGCCTGTAGAGGTGAGATGTAGCAGGAACAGAAATTTGTGCGAGTTCCAATTTATGTTGGGTGAGCCATGATCAAAGAGCTGACCTGACTTCTCAGAAAACCATTTGCATTATTGTAGCCTTTGCAGGATGACCCAGGATTATGCCTCTCCCTCAGAGTTCCATATGCTATGCGTTCTTCAAACATCTTGATTACACTCTTCTGACTCAGCCAAGGAATTTCCCAACCAGTTATTTTTACTGTAAAGCAAGCCCTGGAGAATTGTAGATCTTTGCACAACAAAAAAGCAACCATGAGACACACACCTCCACCCAGTGTTGTCTTTGCCCTTTTTGTGTTTTTTAAGAACTAGGCAAACTTTGCCGATTTTACTTTCTTGAGCCTGATCTTCTGGTACGTGACAGTGGGTGGTTCTTTGCCAGCCTTGGTCTCTAACCCTTTGCACCATATGTTCAATGATAGGAAACTCCTACCCTGTGCCATTTGAGTCTGGGACAAAAGCTATCATCAGGTGGATCGATCATGTAGAATAATTCAGCACTGAAGATTTTTTGCTTGTTCCTTCCAACAGGTCTGAAAAGCCTCCCTAGACAGAGGCAGGCTGCAGAATAGACTGACCACATCGAGATCAGAGTGGCTTTTCCATCAGACTCTAGAGGGAATGATACTCAGAAAATAAAAGGGAGTTCACAGCTAGATTCAGATATATTCCACATCTTGGATGTGTCACACCTTAGAAAAATCTTTTTTTTAGTATAGTTCCAGGCCAGTATTGGAAAGATGATAAAAAAATTATCTTCTGCCAATAACTACATCAAAAGCATAGTAAAATATGGCAGTGATTCTATAGTTAGTAGTCTTGCAGTAGCTTTTCAATGACATCAAAAGCAATGATGGTATTGTCACTAATATGTCACAATATATTTTTATAAAACTAGCCATATTTTATTCACAGCCTGTATGTTTTTAGTAATGAATAATAAGCAACAGATTGTCAGAAAAATGACAGGGCCTCATTCTCTGTTTTGAGACTAACTCTTAAGACCTTATTCAGGTTCTTAGATTTTCACAGAATGGAGAGGAAAAGGCTGGTTTCAGTCATAATTTATGTTCTGCAGGTGTGAAACCTACATTTCAGAGACATTCCATTCCCTGTTTAAGGAGATGGAAGAGGACATCTATGTAAAAATCAGATTAATCTGGAGAACTAAACATGCTAGGGGCTTAGGTTCTAAATAAGCAATAGAAGAAATACGTTTTTAGTTTAAAGTTACCCTACAAAATCTATAAATCATATATACTTCATTTTGCCAAAGGAATTCCCCATTATTTATTGTTAAACACTAACCAGTCCTAGCAGACATCTCTTAATGGACTGAGCCTTGCAAATATTGAGGCATATCTCTTGTTTTGTGTCACAATATTGTGTCATAAAAAGAATTGTGTCACATTCCTTTTCAACATTTTATTTTTACTGTTTTGTTAGATTGTAATAGAAAACATATGGAGCCACAAAGTTCTTCAAGTTTCAGTCCAATCCAGCTTCACAGGAGACAGTTATGAGCATATAAATTGTCCAGTCTTTCCAGTATCAGGTAGCATTTGAGATTGCATTTGCCAACATACTAGCCTGGTTCCAGGTTTGTTAAATGCTAGAAGAAAAAAGGTCTATGGCCTGATATCCTGCTGTGTATTTCTGTATCCAGAGGCTAATGACCTTTCAATTAATCCTGGTTCTAAATGTCATAAAGAATCATGGATAATTACCTATGGCAGTATATGATACTGGTACAATTGATTTCTTGTACTAGAGGAGAAGAAAGCTAACTAACTGCTTTTTAAAATGCAACTTACGTAGGAAAAAATTGTATCAGTTGTGATTCCCTTGGGACTAATATTACAAGAAAATGCACACTGGCATCTTTAGAGAAACACTTCTCTTCCCTGTAAAACAGTCTCTTGAAACTTAAAAACACAAATGCCATTTAAAGTCAGCTGCAGTGCTGAGAAAGGTGGGGCACTCTGTGAACATCTCTGGGTGCAAAATGAGAAAGGAAATCCGCCGTTGCCTTGAGAAGCTGTCGCCAACCTCGTGCTCTGACCAAACTACATCTCATCTGTAACAGTTTGGTTCCACCAAAAGCTATTCTTTGAGAGCAAAATTAAATGCTTCCTTCTTGCTTGTCTGTGCTAATATGAGGCCAGTTACATTTCTTCTAAACTCATGACTACTCTGTTAACAAGTGACTCATCAACAAATACTATTACAACTTTTGCCTTTTAAACAGAAATTACATTGGGTCTTAATAGCTACAATACATTTGACATTTGGAGGACATTTGGCATTCTGATTTTTGTTTTGCTTTGTTGTTGTGTTTTCTGATGGTTGCTGTTGGTTAGAATGGACATTGCAAGAACTCTTGTTTTCTTGAAAAAGCAGAATTTCTTACAGCCTACACATGATTTGGTAAAGGACTAAGAATAATTACTCTTAAGTTTTCTCTTGAAGAAGGAACAAAAGTATCATAGTACTGTCTTCTCACTGGCCGTAAATCGCTCTTCAGAAGTGACATGGCGGCTCTGGGACGGCCATGTTTCAGCCGTTGTGTGCACTTGATCTGGATGCTGTAAAATGATACAACTACTGCAGCTGACATCAGAGACTTCAGAATACTTCAGATTTTATGTAGTCTTATCACTTTTTTGTAACCTGGAGCATGCTTGCAGGATCCTTTCTTCTTTTCCCATTAGCTGCATGCCTCCAGTTGCCTCTTCTGCTTAATTTCTCCTGCATTTGCACTATAAACAGTTCTCCCATATTTAAGTTTTTATTTTCCATTATTTTTCACTCTGGATTGGTTTTCATAACCTCATCTCAAAATGGCTTTTTCAAAACCTCTGCTTTTTATTATCGTGGACCCAGTCAAACATTTCTGAATTTTGGAATGGCTCAGGATTCAGACTGTGATGCAGAACTGTATTTCCTAACTAGCCCCCTCTTAGTAAAAGAGACTGAAACTTTGGGTCAGGATTCAATCATATATTCCAGTGCTGCTCAAGCCATGTGTTTGGGCCAGTACTTTTGTCTGACTGACACCGAGAGATACTTGCTTTACCAAAGTTAATTGTAATTGTTTGCTGAAATGCTTTTATTCATCAGTGTGCTCATTTAAGACACTATATAAATAAATGAGCAGGCTCTATCATAGTACAGTGTATCTTAAATAAACGATCTATTTTGCCATGTGTTGATGATTAATGAGTGACTGTTTCTGGCAAACTAATCAACTGTAGCTCCAGGCATGGGACAGCATAAGCTTCCAAAAAAATAGTAACAGCTCCCCTTATACATGCTTCAGACAGCCGCCATACATTGCAGTTTCCATGAAAAACAGGAATTTGGACTTGGATGAGTTGATTTTTATTTTATAGCTTAGAGCTTATAGCTCATATAAATTGTGCACACATTCCTCAGTGGCACAGGCCTCCCTAGTATAAAAACAGATACGGCCTTGTGTTCATGTGGCTTGTACAGTGTGTCAGTGTGAGATTTAAAAAAAAGTATCCTGCAGTGGCTGAAAAGGAGCTTTCCTTGCTTCATGAATTTGGTCCCTTTTCCACCACTCCCCGCCTCCCCTTTCCTGCCGTGGTGGGGCAAGCATTACAGCTGTGCATGGCTGCCTCTTTTGTAACCTCTTCAGCGTGTTCACTTTGGGGAAAAAAAAAATAATACTGTAATACTGTAGTAGCATTACTGGCAGATAACAGACCACTTTAATTTGGATTTTTTTTTCTAGTATTGTCTAGCTACCATATATTACATTGCTACAGAGCTTAGGAAATTGGCCAGCAGAGAGAAAGGCTACCTCGCTGTGGCTGTGACACACCGGATCAGGTTGGATCTCCTGAAGAGGACGGGCGATGTCGAGAGCTGGCTCTTCCCCAGCGAGCACATGAGTAGGCTCAGCCTGGGGAGCTTTCTGGAGTGGAAAAGCCGGTGATGGGGGGAGGCTGGGGGAGGCGGGTGCTGTGCGCAGCCGGGAGCGGGCTGAGAGCCAAGTTGCAGAAGTGATGGAAAGAAAGAGACGTTCAAAAGACTGAAAAGTGGCGGGTTGAGTATCTTCAGCTTGGGAAGGCAATGGAAGTTGCTGGACTGATACTGCCTGGAGAGAGTTACACTTCAACTTCTTTTTAGGGTGTCTCATTCAGCAGGCCTGATTTTCTCCTATTTCTGTGCCATTTTGCTCTAGTTTGTTGTCTTTGTGTTCTAACGCTGCAAAGGGGCAGTGGCCACAAAGTGCTGAGGGAGATCAGAGGGGTCATGGGTGGTTTTGGACATCATAAGCGATTCTCTTCTGGTTCAGCCATCACCAAAGCTGCAAAACACAGCCTTGGGGTGAGCTCAGGGCCAGCGCAGGTAACAGTAAGGCTCCGTAACACTGCCTGTTGTGTATTCAGTTTCAGAAATAATACACTTTAAAAAGAGGTGGGTGACAGAAGATAACTACAAGTGGAGAGGTTAGCCAAAAAGAAAGCAGAAGGTGTACCAGAAAAGGGTAAAAATACTTGGGAGGTGCCAGAGTGTTCAAAGAAAAAGTTGGAGATAGAGACCTGCACACACCTGCTTACTATAGCCTTCCTGTATCACCATGAAAAACCACTCTGGAGACTCCGTGGTATCTTTTGATGTAACTGGTTTATTTACCTTGTTTGGTGTTATGTTTTCTTCAAAACACGATCCTATTATTCCAATGGCATCGCCTACTCAGTCCCAAAGCTCTGTGTTCTAGGCCCCGCAGTCCCAACAGACTGACACAGTAGAGCCAGGGCAGATGAGGGCCACCAAGAGCATTACAGGGCAGGAGCCCCTGGGTGTCAAGAGGCTGAGCAAATTGCTTTGCACAGGCACCAGGAGAGAAGGCTCAGGCTGGGGGAGACCTTGCTGCTGTCTGTAACTTACATCAGAGGGTACAAAAGGGAAGACGTGGCCAGACTGTTCTCAAAGGTGCACGGGGCAGGACAAGTGGCATGTGTCAAGTTATGATTACATACAAGGAAACTATTGTTCAGTCAGGAGGCTGGTCAAACACTTGAACAGGATCCCAGAGAGGCTGTGCAACCTTCATCCCTAGAGATATTTTGAACTCGGCTGGCAAAGCCATGACCCGCCTGGTCTAGCTGGATCCATTTAGAGCAAGATCAGGACTAAATGATCTCTAGAGGCTCCTTCCAATGTAATTCATTCTGTGGTCTAATCAATTATCTTCTTTTTTAGTTTCCACACCACCTCTTATAATATTGATAGCTTCAATTAAAACAAGGAACTTCTGCTCATTAAACAGCTTTTAGCGTTCTTTGTAGAAACAGCCTCTGCAAAATTTCTTTTATTTTTGTCACTTTTTTTTTTTTTACCTCTTGTTGCAGACAAGCCGTCTTGAAATATACAGCCAAATTGGAGAAACAAGAACATAATGATGCTGACCCTCCAGCGTGGCTTGGATATGACCGGGATGGTAACATACTCACCTTCACCAAAAACACGCAGTCTCAATAAACAAATTCTTGAAAATGAAAGATGAAGAAATTGCACAACATCTTCTACAGTTCAAGGATTTTTCACCAGAGCATGAGAAGAACATTATATTATTTTTCTTAAAACTAACCACACTTTAATAAAAGGCCCTTTTTTGAATTAGTAAGGAAGCATTGGAAATCTTTCTCGCAGGAGTGTGTATGCCTTCCAGCAAGATAGCCGCACTGAAACAACATTGCTAACTTTCAGATGTTGATTCAAGCTGTCTTCATCTTTCAATAATGAGTAGTTTTTGTAGTCCCATGCAGAGTAAGCAATAAATAAATCTGCATGTGCTTGGGGCTCCTGTTTGCCATGAAGGTCCTCTCCAGGACATAAACACTCTGACTTCCCACAGAACTTCACACTTGACATGGCTGGTACTCATCAAGTACAGCGATCTTGAGCAATGAAGAGCAGTGCATGGGTAGCGACTCCCGATTCCTTAATACGCAACTACACACACACATTTAAGCACACTTCTGTACTTCTCAACAGTCACTTGCGTGCCCAGAGCCCTAATTCTCATAAAAGCCTCTCAGGCCGAGGTCAACTCTCTAAGCGAGCTGATGTTTACATTCGCAGATCTGAGCTGGGGGCTGGCTGGCAGCTAATGGAGCCAGGAGAATCAAATAAAAAGGAGCACAGATGAGAAAAGTGTTAAATGATAAATTTTCTCCAGTTACAAGAATGTGTCTCCTCATCAAATTGACAAAAACAAAAAAAAAGGACACATGAGATTTGCCATTCAAATCCTAATTACTGATAACCCACTAATTTTTCCTTGTCTGGAAAAAAAAAAAAATTTCACCTCATTATAGCAGAACAAGACATTTCTCAAATGCCTTTGGGGCAACTCCCAAAGATTGGTCTTTCTTCAGCTCATTCTTGACCTTTATGTTAAAGTTCTAGCTGGTCTCAACGTTTATTAGCTTGGAAATAATATAATCAGAGTAGCTTTGGTGGTAGTGCAATTTTTCTGATGGCTTATATTTAAACTTCTTTAAGCAAGTAATGTTTAATTCCAGCTAGTTTTAGAATACGAATGCCTTAGCTTGCTTTCTTTTGAACGTGGAAGAAATAACATGTTCTCTTACTATGTTCTACCTTAAATCGCTGATGCAGCAGTCCCAAAAAGCACAGCCTCAATCATAGAGGCTGACAGGCTTTGTATTCCAGGTGAATAATGGAACCATTAACTGGACTCAATTTTAGGAAATATCTACTACCCTGTTTTTATTTTTCAATGCAGTGTGAATTTAGAGGTGCTTCTTTCACTTTGTCTGTAGCAGTGTACAGAAATCATCAGTTTCAAAAATTTTTCAGGAAATTAAAACCATTACACATTTATTAATTTTGTATCTTTTAAAAGTATAACAACAACTAATAACTAGTAATATTATATTGCTTTTAGTAATAATGAGTAATGTTTTAATATATTAGTGTTTATATTAAAAATACATAGAATGTGCCATACACATCAGCGCCCACCTCTTCGAAACAAACAGTACACACAACAGCAAACAGAATGTGGAGTATTTAACCACCCTGAATTGCAGTAAAAATGCTGCCCTTGTCTATTGAAGTTGAGCAGCCAGGGGCAATTGCACCTCTTGGGGAATACTGTGGGAAGGGAAAAGTTAATTTCATAATGGACCATTATGATCTAAAGCACGTACACACATATACACAACTTAAAACCTGAGCTGATACTCTGAACTCTTCTCTGCTACTCTCCGTCTGCTCAGTTGGCAGGAAGTCTTACATTTCAGTTTTAAAACACAAATTTCAGTACTTCTATAAGCTGCCATATATATTTAGGGAAAGGCTTTTAAAAGTTCCATTTACTTTACTGTGTTGTTTGTATTATGGTAACACAAAATCGTCCAGAAAAATCATGTATGCCTTTGTGCAAGGCACACACACTTCCCTCACCTCCCTCCTCTGCCTTTCTGCCTCAAAGAGCTTACAGTCCCGTCATGCAAGGCTGACAGCAAGTCACTGGAAATGTAGGAAATAAACAGATTACGGTTCTCATTTATTAGGCCAATACTTCCATTCTTTGGCAGCTTTTAATTCAGGGGAATGTTCACGTGGACTCTTATCTGAAGCCCGGTTGGTGGAGTGTTCCTCCTTGAAATCAGCCAGATCCATTGCACTTTTTGAGTATTTATTTTAAAAGCCCTTCTTTGCAGTAGACATAGCTACAGTTCTTATTTCTATTCACAAACAAGTGGGTCAGGATGACACGGAGCAAGATCCGTCATTTCATGTAAGTAGTTTTACACATACAGTACCCATGGACAAGGCAGAAACTGCTTAGGGGTCAAACACCAAATGAGAAGACCAAGTAACAACTACAGTTCTGAAAGTGGTTTTATCGCATCCATGGTACAAATAATTTGGTTGGAGAAAATTCTCTGCATTTTGCGTAAACCAGTAGAATTCCCGCAGTACCGAGGCATTTAATTAAAAAATATAAAATAGCTTGCAGACCATGCCATCTTGGAAGTAAATTTTCACATTTTCCAATACAAGATGTTGAAAATGCTTTTTATTTTTAAATTACTACTCCAAACTTTTGTTTGAAAGTCAGCAGCTTTTAAACTGATGTAGTAAGTGGGTCAAGTTAGACAAATTCTGAATATGCACGATCTTATAATTCCTAAAAGGCACTAAAAATAAACCAGACCTCTTAAGCACCAGCCACTGTCACAGGCAAGTCTTAGGTTAAATCACCCTCATTTTTAATATTTTCTCTCTTATATAAAGAATATACATCAACAAAGTTTCATAATTTTACAGAAATGTTCCTTTACGATTTTTTGATTTAATCTCTTTGGCCTATTTCACCTTTAAGAACTCTTCAGCTTGACAGACTGGATCCAGCTTTGGCTTTTAAGATACACTTTGCCATTTTGCGTATCAGCCTTAATCCATTTGTCTGTTTCATTCCTTTGATTCATGTGACCTGGAAAAGAGAGTTCCCTTTAGTTTAATTTGACGCTCAGTAAACACAGCATCTTCACATTGCCATTTTTTTCAAGCTCCTTGGAAATACTTGTAAGACTTTCATTTGGTAGAATTGATATATTTTTAACATTATGACATTTCATTCTTGGTACAGTTTTTTGCATTAATCTCATTTCACATAATATGTTATTACAATAAAGCTGTGGTTTTTGTTATGTAGTACTGTGGTTCTTATCATGGGCTAGGAAATACGTTG